CACCGATTTCGAGCATCACTGGCTGCGGTCAGTGTCCGGGTGGGTGAACACTTGGATCAGTCTGCGAAGGGTCAGAGGGTGTGAGGTATTGGTCCTCGCTAAAGTCTAAAGTACTCGATTTCGCATGCAGGTCATCCCCTCTGCATAGGTTCAAAATTGTTATGACAAATCTTCGGATAATCCTCAGGAATGTTTCCCAGACCGTCTCCAATAGCCAAATAGGCAGCTCCAGTTTGACGTAAATGAACTACAACTGTGACATTCTCTTCGTATTTTACGCAACTTGCAATCCTCTTAGAAGCAGTTGAGACCTCATAAATCAATCTGATTTTTTTTTATTCATCTTTGTACTCCTGCATTTTCCTTTTGTTTCGAGCACGTTATTTTGAATCACCCAACATATAGAAAGAAAGAAAGAAAAAGAGAAATTGTTTAATCATATATTAAAATAAATATCAAATTAATTTATTACCGTAGCGATTTGAAAGGAAGAAAAATAAACGCTTGTTTCCAGGTTAAAAAAAAAAAGGTAACATTATTATTTTATCCCTTTTAAGTTCATTTTAATTCAACATCCCAGTAGAAAAAATGCCTGCTAAAGCGAACGAGATTTATTAAATTATAAAAGAACGAACCCCAAGAAAAGAAATACAGTTATTTAATTCCAGTTAGAAGAATTGATACTATGAAGTAAATGAAAAATTGAAATGGAATGTGAGAAATCTTTTAAATAGATAAGTTCACACAAGAGTATTGAATAGAAGTATTCCATTAAATGAAAATTGTTCTGCATTTCTGGAGATAAATAATGAAAGCGAAAGTTCTATAATCAAATCTTGCTTTGTAAATGTTAGAAAAAAAGATTTTAAATGAAGGGGAGCAGAAAGCTTTGAATCAGTATTCAATACAGAAATTAAAGCATACAAATGCATTTTAAGTAAAGCTTTGTATTGATGTCTAGTAAAATTAAGTTTCTTTCAAATGTTACCAATCAATGAAAGGCATAGGTAGCAGATACTCCAACTTTATGAAATTTAAGATTTTTTTTTCAGTGGCGGGCACTTGTGTCTATTTCCCATTGGTTTCAGAAATGCCAGAATTGCTACTCTCTTATCGTTACCCAGTGGGCACCTGTGGCTAAGCCATGGGGCTGTGGAGTGGCGTCGCTCACGTTATACAACCACAAAAACCGTTTATAGGGTGGGTTACATTCACAGAAAAGAACGAACATAGAGAGCAATGCCCACACGTTATTCAGGTATCAGGAGCATCATATTAGATGGACCAACGTTGCTCTCACAGTAAGGATAGATAGTACAGAGAATGAAAAACATCCATGCCTTGTTCGGGATTCGAATCCAAGACCTCTCTGGTGTGATGTCAGCTCTCGGACCACTACACATCCAGTGGCTGCCGATAAAAACAATGCGACATCAAAATTGAATGCTATTCAATAAAAGGATTTCGGAAATATTTATTATCACAATAAATTTTTGATTCTATTAAAAGAAATTTTAAAACCAACCAAATAGCTCGCGGTTACCACATAGCAACTTCATTCCCAAAATATATTTTTAAAATCCTTTAAATTATTTGGTAAACTTAATTGCATACGTTGAATGTAAAACTGCAATTATGTCTGTAATTTCTCATCGTTGTAATTGTAAAACGCTAACAAAATCGATTCTTCTTTTAACAATCTCTGTTCTTATTTATTTTTTCCTCTCCCTCGGTTTCGTCTTTCTCATTCGTGTTTTCACAATTATCATTTTCCACTTTAATAAAAATATAACTGTAATAGTAGAAAATGACAAAAAAAGTAGTATAATAGTTAAAAGTAATTGATTATACCTTTAACAAATGCATATTAAATATCTCTATAAGCAAAATAAAAACAGAATAAAAATATCATTAAAAAAAATAATAAACAGAAAATTAGTTGAATATTACCGTTGTAACTTTTATTAACTTTAAGCTGATGAAAGCCAAAGGTTTTCGGATTTTTTTTTATTTACTTAAGGATCTTTTCATATGAATTTTTGACTAATAGTAGTAATACTTTACTTACGTCGCACTAAATCTGCAGAATTGGCTTTTTCTAACTAATAAGAAGAATGCACCGACAATAATAAGGCAGGGTTTTATTCTATTATAATTTAACGTTATACACAGAGATATTTTTCCAAAGTAGCAGAAAAATCAAGTAATATTAAGTATACACCTTAAAAATTCTAACCATTTTCTAACCTTTCCTCAAGGAGTAATTTTGTCTTAAGGTATAAATCAGATTACACTTCCTATTAGTTTCGCAAATTGACAAATTTATGAGAATATTTTCCCTGCATAAAAATGGTTTAGCTCGACTGAGAAAGCAGAGGGGGCGATATGCAACTCTCTATGTGTAAAACCACTAAAGGGTTAAAAATCTTGGTAGAGAGAACTAACGGGTTAACGAAAACCCATCATGAGTGAGAAAATATTAGAGTATATGAATTATAATAATTTTAAACACAAAACTTTTGAGAGTGCAAATTAAAATATATTTTTAGTCGAAAAAAAACGCTATTGCAAATTTTTAAATTATATTTATGGCACATTTGCAAAAAAAAAAAAAAATCATTGCCTATATATGTACATAGAAAAAAACTCACTACAGAGCAAAACTCCTGAAGAAATAATACAATATTTTTATTAACTTTCGTCGAGAAATATTAGACATGGATGGATGGTACCCTGGGAAACTGCAGGGTGGCTTCCATTGCAAAGCAGAGAAAGCTGAATTGCAAATGACGGGTGTCAATTTGCAAAGTTACCTCTAAGTGTAATCGATAGTATGATTTTTGCTTTATCATTTTTCTTTGTTTTGAAAGTCGAATCTAAGTTACACTATGGACGACGGTTTGGGATATGATATTATAATCCGAAGACGATACTGGCGCGTACTACACTAAAACAATTTAGGTCGGAGAGAAAATGGTGGTAGTAATAACCTAATCTCCGCTCCACTCTTCCATACCGCAGGAGACAAATTTCTCCCAATACTTGATCCAGGAGTTACCTTGTCTTTTGGATTGGGTTCAAAATTACAAAGCTACAGAGTTGAACTTTAATAGTTTTTAACTTAAAATTGGGTCGGCTGTTCGACGCAGATTATAAAATAAAATATATCATGGATTACGTTTTCTATTACTCGCCTGGTCATATAATAAAAATAATCAGCCTCTATGCCGTTTCCCCATAGTATACACATGGAAAATTTGTATAGAATTGCAAATTTGTATAAAGAATATGCATACTCAAATTTTGTTTCATATACATAATTTTTCAGACCGGAGAATTTAAGAAGATAAGGCGATAGTAAGATTTCCTAGCATCTAAAAAAATATCATTTACTAAAACAAATATTATAAAGGATAATTCGTTATTCATATTTCATGGTTTTATTCATATTACATTAACTGGAAACAGAGTATTTTTATTCATATTACATTACGTTATTCATATTATATTTTTTTACTAAGAAAAAAAAATCTTCACTTTGCCCAGCATCGTAAAATGTCAAAAAATACAAACTCAAGCAGATTCTGATTCAACAATACCAATGTCGATTACACAAGCAGATTAGAAGTTCAGTTAATCCCATTCCTGATTTCAGTCCTCAAGACTGAAGAGTGGCACCATACAATTTGCTTTTTTTTTTTTTTTTTTATATATGGGGGTCAATTTTTANTTTTTTTTTTTTTTTTTTTATATGGGGGTCAATTTTTAAGTAAGAATCGTTTTGTGACGCAGTAAGGGAAACTTTATATCTAAACGAAAATTGCATTGAAGCTAAAATATGAACATTTATTCACTTTTCAACATAGTCACCATTAACACTGAAACATTTGTCAAATCATAACACCAGCTTTTAGATTTCATTATCAAAGAACTCTGTCGCCTGACAGTAACAATTTCTTCCAACATGTTCAGCATTTTCCAAGCTCTTTCCACCAAGAAATTCCTTAAGTTTTGAAACCAGATGAAAAGAAGATGGTGCAAAGTCAGAGTAGAATGGTTAATGATCTAGTACTTCCCTATAAAAATTTTCCTGGTGCGTCTTTGTTTTTGCCATAGCGCGAGTTTGAGCAAGATGAACTTTTTTTACATTTAAATACCGAATAATTGAAGGCAATCGGCGGGATTAGTGATTGACATAGTGACAAACGAAGCAATGTAATCATACAATCAACACCGGCAAAGACGTGAAACGTAATAGCGGCATAGTGAGAGACTTGCCAAAAGTTATCGACCTTGAACTAACGTCACTTGACCGGATACGCAATCGGTTCTAACTTTAAAAATGGCTCTCAAATATTTATTTATTTTAAATTTTCGCTATTAGCAGAGTTTTTTAGATTCTTAGAGAGCCGTGGTGACTCAGGGGATAAAGCGCTCACCTTCCAATGAGGTCGACCGGGTTCGAATCCTAGCGATGTCTGGTCGATTCGAATCCCGCACCCGGCTTGCATCGACCACAGTGGTCATGTAAAATATCATCAGTGGTAGACGGATTATGGGTTAGAGTCGCCATACCATTCAAGCTAACCGTGGGAGGCGTTCGTGTTTTTCCTCTCCATGTAACGCAAATGCGGGTTAATTCCATCATGAAGTCCCCCACGAAGGCAAATTTCTAACAATACTTGATCCAGGAGTTCCCTCGTCTTCTGGATTGGGTTCAAAATCACAAGGCTACAGAGTTGAACATTGGTAGTCGTAAACCCAAAAACTGGGTCGGCTGTTCAAAGACGGTTATAAAATTAAAAAAAAAAAAAACGATACACTCTCAAAAAAAATAATCAAACCAAATCACATTTAACTAGGAAATTAAGTTTAAGTTTATGTCAGACAACATATTCTAATATGGCAAAATTGAGCCAGAAATTAACTATTTTGTGTGACACTTTTCAGTCATAAACTCCCAAATAAAAAAAAATGTTGAGTTTAATAAAGAGAACTACTTAACAAACATATATTTATTGTAAGTACATTACAACAGCAAAAACAGCTCACTTTTTATTATTAATTGTAAGAGAATAGAAATACATTTTAAATTATTTTCTTTCTTATAAAAATAAACAATTGAATAAGCTTTTATATCACAATTAAAAGTGAAGTAAAAAGGTCATGAAAAACAAACCTTCACATCATTAAATAATGAGTATTTAAAACAGTATATGAGTCATTAATGTCGCCTTATTTAGTCAAGCTTTAAAATAAATTTCACACAAATAGTATGAAAATTTGAGTCATCAATAATGTAAAAATTAATCAATACATAAAGCATCCTTTTGGATTTTCGCACACAATGATAAAATTTATTTTTATCGTATATGTTAAGAAATTCAGATTTTTGAAACAAAATCATTGTTCTAATCTTTTATCCTAAATTTGGTTGTGCATCCTTAGTAATAGTCATTTAAGGATAATTGAAAAGTTTAATGATGTTTACTTTGAAAATCTTAGTAAAATATTTTTTTATCAAGTTCATGTCAGTTTTAATTAACAAAGAATGTTGAAATTCTACTGTATAAGGGGTGTATGGAATATGCATGCACATAGCTAATAACTGAATTTTAAAATGCTATTAATGCAGATGAAAAGCCATGAAAAATCTGGTTTTGGAATACAATATTTTCAAAATCTATGAGATGCTACAATTTAAAATTTTATTTAAAAATAGTGAGTATTCAGATAAAAATACCATAAAAATTTATATCATGGTAAATGATACTTTAATAAATTTGCAGAAATAATAATCTTAAGTATATAATTAAATTTAAAAAATATGTAAACAAGTTTGGAGTACATTCAACTAATGAATAAAGAACCATTCAGATAACGAATTGAAAAAAATTATAATCAAAGTTAAAATAATTAAAAAAATCTGGGTTGCCAGACTTAGAAATATAAATAAACAATTAATCAATAATAAATAGCAAAAATTGTAAAATTGAAGAATTAGCATTACAGCAAAAATTTATATCAATAAAGCATATATGTTGATATCAAAACTAAAACAAATTTTTAAAAAAAAGGAAACACTGCAGTAATTCAAGAAGAAAAAAAAACTCAATCATAAGAAAAACAAAAACAGAAAGAGAATTTTATGAGTACAATTCTGAAAATTTCATTAAAACTTTATAACTTAACGAAACAAAGGCATGTAATCAAATAAAACAATGGGGGAAAAGTATTAACTTAAACCTACATTCACCTTCTATAAGATACTTTTTCATTTTCTTTCTTTCTTTTAATAGTATTTTGTGGGTGGCTGTAGTGACTGTTAACTGATTGTCCGCACATCTTCCTTACTGATATATGAAACGTCGAATAATATAGGCTTTGTAAACGTTTGTTGAATATTTTTTTAAAAATAGCTATGATAAAGTTCTTTTTAACTCTCTTAATTCTCTTTTCTTGACATTAAAAACAAATTATTCACATATCTTAATTAAAAATTGATAAGCAACTAATTGCATGATTAAAAGTCTAAAATAATTCGAATTCAAATATAAAACGAAAAACTGCTTATGATCACAAAAAATTAATTATGATAAAATTAAGTTTTAACCTGAACAAAAATAAAATATCTAACTTTAGTCAGATTGAGTTTACTGCAGTAAAGGAATTAAAAATGAAACAAAATAAGGCATATATATATATCTTAATTAAATTGTGTACTTATTACTATACAAAAAGCATATACAACTTGTAATAAAAACTAAGCATTTAAACAAAAATAGCAACATAACTAATAAAAACTCTCATAACAGAATAAGTATGGAACTATAAAAATACAACTCATGTTTTAAGCCAAAACATTCGCAAATATGTCAGAAATATGTTCAATAACCAAACAACAGTTAATAATTTAAAAACAGTAATCTCTATTTAGACTAGTTATACTATATACAGACATAAAAGAACTCCATACATTTACCCCAAACAAATACTGCTTAGTACTGATGTTACATTCAGAACACCAGATAAATTTTCCAAAATTAATTAATCCATAAAAGAGTAGTGTGCTAATTTCTACATAAAAGGGTTGCCGAAATAAAAAATGGACACTTGTAATAGCGTCAGACATATACAGTAGCAATAACAGCCTTTTCAAGTTATGAATTAAACCATCAGTGGTTTCGCTATTTTCATTTCTACTGATAACAAATATTCACACTTTTTTTATAAGACTTTAGTTCTTTCTCCCTGATCTATAATCAGAAAGAGGTATGAAGGGTCATTTTTCTCTTATCTTATTCTAAATAGGTGGTTGTTTTAGCCCCCCTCCTCCTAAAAAAAAATCTCAGACTTCGTCTACGTATAGGGCCATTTGTAGGTAGAAAAAAATGTGAGTTTTCTCACGTGTACAATAGGGGTGTACATGTACAAGTGCTCATTCACTAAAAAAAAAACGTTTTAGGCTCATAATAGAATTTTCAAAATCTAATTTACTACTTTAAACAAATATTTGGCTTAGTTATTAAATATAAAAAATTAAAAATTATTAAGGTATAAAAAATTAAAGCAATTTGTTACTTCTGTTTGGTGCTTTTGCTTTATGGTCGCAAAATTTGGCATCCATCCAAAGAATATTATCTCATCTTTAGTGTACAATCATACGGGAAGATAAAAAAAAAAAATACGGCTGTCTAGTTGCAAAACCGCTGGTGGGTTAAGGAAAGATAAGAGCATCACAGATCCCCTGTAAATGATTAAACAATTTGCAAGAAAGCAAATAAGAAGAATGTAAAGTTATGCTAACAATGCATCCAGAACACACAAATTTTAGTGCAAGAAGGAATTCATTAACAAATAAATGCTGTTTATGCAAACTAAAAACAAATAGTGCAACAATTTTCATGAAGCGCAAATATCAAAATGTGTTCTAAATAGTCCCATGGCAAGCAAATCTCCCAATCTTCAATAAACTACTATTAATTATACTATTTTACATTGCGTTCTTTCTAATACATATAACTCAGTACAACTTTGCAATCTTTTCTGTGAACTGATTAATCTGTGCACTTCTTTTACTTTTGTTTATAACCCTAAAGAGTGATACTGCTATTGCTTCTATATTTCTGACAGTATTGTAAGGTGCAACTTTCATGTGGGCAACACGTACATAGATATAAAAAAAAAAGATAATATTCAATAGAGTGCAAAAATAACCCATCTAGTACATTTTATAAAAGGAAAAAACAAACCATAAATGCATATAAAACTAAGTAGTTTATTATACGAAATTAGCATTAGGCAGCTATAAAACCTCATTATTGGGAAAGCAGTTTGTTTCATTAGAAGCACTTGAGACATTTGGTTCCGATCAGATAAGCGACTTCAAAAAGTTTAGAGCAAAAAAAGATCTTTCATGCTAGTTTCAGCATGTTAATTTGGGAATTTTTTTTCCTTGAAACAAAGTTTATGATTATTTTTATAATTTTGGTAGGAAAAAATTTAATGTTATCTAATGAACTTTGAGGTTCATATGTGTTCCTTCATAAAAAAAAATTAATGACCAATGGATTACAAAAAGGTAATTTTTTCAACATGAGGTTAATATTTTGTTTCTTAAATTATAAAAAAGTAAGAAACCTATATTTGTTGAAAAATTGCTGCTAAGGTAGAAAACAAAAATGGAACAAAACTTAATGGAAAAAAGTTTTTGAAACAAAGTGGACTGATCCATTTTCACAACCAAATGTCTCCTTTACTAAAGCTACATAAAATGATTGTTCTCAGCAAACAGAATTATTTATTTAATTAATAAAAAAAGGTAAAAGTAATGATTGTAGAAAACCATAAAGTTACCAACTCATTTTTATAAAATGAATCTTAATGTGTACAAATAATCTGAATATTTTTCACTTTTGTACAACAGTATTTATGAATACTCCAAATAATTGATTGTGCGTAAATCAAGATAAAATGATTATTTAAAAAAGCAAAAATACGGAATGCTGCCAATTCTTTTAGTCTAGGATTTAAAACTAATTTTTGTCTGCTTGACTTATGAAGAATAATTTCTATTGATGAATATAGAAGATAAAATACTATTAAACTAATTAAAAACAGAATTTAAAAAATATGGAGAAAAAATAGGTCTTAATTGACTTAATCTATCTATTATCAGAATCACCATAAGGTTATTAATACTGATTATATATTTAAAACTTGGATGTAAATGCGAAAATAACTTCTATAACTATGCCAAACTGCTTCAGAGTCTATAAACTATCAGTCAAATTATTTTTCTCAGTCATTTTGCAAGTAAAGCAAGTTAAAAAACATATGAGGCACAGATGTGGTCGTGTTATTATTAGATTTGCTTCAAAACAGCTAGTATAAAAGCATACTTTTGTGCGAGTTGAACATCCTCACAATATATTTTGGAGTAGTTCACACATGCAAGGCTCAGTAAAAAGAATATTATCAATAGTAATTCATTTCTAAAATATTCATAGATTAAATTTATCTTCAACAGCTTAACATCTTTTCTTCAGCACCACTTAAATACCAACAACAAAAGCAAGAATATTATTAGTGACATATTCGTACAAAATTAGTTAGAGATTTCTAAGAGTTAATGGCATAAAGATACGTAACACAGGTGCAAGAATTATTGTAAAAAAAAAATCAATAAAAAATAAGTGGCTTCTAGATTTAAATAAGAAAAATATCTATATTTTTTATCAAGTAAAAGGGTAATCTTAAGTCAGGAACCTTGAAAAAAGCCCATTGAGATAAATAATTAAAAACTAAAAAAATTGCTCCTCAGATCACTTACTTTGACATATGCATAGATATTTTGGTAAACTGAGTTCATGTCATATAGCATATGAAAGCAATGTTTGATACAGCTTCATTTTTTTTTAAAATTGAAATACACAAGTTGATTATCAAAAAAAATATGGTAAAAATTTCTTATAAAAACAGGGATGCAAACGCAAATATAATTTTAGTTGTATTAACAAAACTTGCATTACGAAGAATTAGCCCATGTTAAGTTGCACAGCTTTAATGCACCTTTTTCTGAGAAAATACTGAATTCTAAAAAAAAAATTTGTTTTTTAGTTACTTCTTTTTCATGTTATAGTGGAAATCTTATTAATTTGTTTCAGAGAGTGGAAATGTTGACTCTTGAATTTTTATTTTTGTCAAACAATTAAATTACAAAATAAATAAGAGGTCAAACTTTTTTCCTATAAATTCTTTTTTTTATCTGAATCCTTTATCTAAATCTGAACCTCTTGACTTCTAAAAACTGCACAATACTGTGCATCGTAATAGGAACAAAATTTTAAAAAAAAGGATTACAAATCTCTAAAGTACAGTACTAAAATATTGACCATTTTAAAATGGACTGTGACAGGATATCTGGTCCCCTTAAGTTGCAAGATTAATTAAATAAAAGCAGTTTTGCTTGATTTCAATGATTAACTCTCCCTTTTATTCAAAACAAATTATTTATTGCTGTTATATCTCACAAGGGTGAAGGTAATTACCTACTATTATTTTAATTACTGACTAATCTAAGTAAACAACCAAAAAATCAAAATAATTTGCATAAATTACAATACATACATTACTATGGTAAACAATAAATTAATATTTTTGAAGCATATTTTTAAACTAGTTTTTTTTTATTTCAAATTTAAAGATTTTAAAAAATAATTAAAAAAATAGTGATTAAGAATTGCATGAAATTCATTAAAAATTTTTATAGTAAATTAAAAAATTATAAATTATCATAAAATAATTTAAATAGCAAAAATGTGCAAATTTTAAACATATATTTGAAAGATTTTAAATTTAAATCGAAAAAAAGCATCATATTATTAAATTAAATACCCGTAAAGAGTGACAAAAATTACTCGATGAGAAACCAAGAATCACATTACTCTGATTGCACAGCATTATATAAAACCTATACAAAAATATGCTAAATAAACCCTAAAAGCTTTGATAGTGTTACAACAAATTAAAAAATTTTCTAGACTCGAGAGAAATCTTGATTATTAGTAAATTAAATTAAAGAATGCAACTTAGTAAAACAGAAGCAGTCAGCATCCCTGAACAAAGATAAAAGTTTTTTGTTTGTGACAATAAAACACAAATAAGAGAAACAATTAACTTTGTTAATGCAACAAAAACGTTAACTTAATATAAGCAAACAAAAGATTAATATGCCTATTTGAAATATAGAATTAATGAGAGCATATGCTTAAGTGCATAGAGTTTGGCAAGCATACTTTGTTTGTTAATCTATAACTAGAGTTATGTACATTGTTTGGCAAGAATCCTTCTCCTTACAAAAGTAGAACTCGATTATTTGAGTATTATGCTTGCTGTCTAAATCTGCAAGTCAAGGTTTTAGAATTACTTTCTAATGATTAGGCTATGTCAAAAAGATATCTCATTGAAACAAAACAGCCAAGGCAATTTCTTTTCTTATCTATATCCTGGCATTTATTTTCAAATCTATACCGAAGCATTTGCATACTTTTTTTTTAAATGTTTGAGTCCAGACTTAGAACATTCAGTGAGTCTTCTTTCATCATGATACAAAAATCATAATGGAAATAAGTTTGTAAAATGCTCCCCTCTTTGTACCAAGTATAGAAAATATTAGTTCTAAAAATGCCTTTCTTCAACAACAGTCACTAATTTAATGATCCAAAATAAGTTAAATCTAAGTTAACTGAAAGCATAGATCGTTATCTTTTCTATCAGAAACAAACTGAATCACTTTTCATTTAACTTGGTTGTTTTCCTCGATAGAAAATCATTCCTTAACCGGATTATTCCATGAGAAAAAAAAAATTTATGAACTCATCCAGGGTTTAGCACTCAATGTCTCAGGCAAACAAAAATTATGCTTCTCATAAATTTGTTTGAAAGTGCATCTATGACCAGATGACCGACGATCCATTATCTTACATTTTAATCCTCTGAACATTTTCAACTTTAATCTGGTGACTTTCCTGCATCTAAAAACAAGTTTCTCAATGGGATAAAGTGCCTAACAAGAAGATTTCAGAACTATTTTGCCCATGAGCTGAATGCTTGAATGGTTAAAGAACACTCAAGTGTCACGAGATTTCCCTTACTAGTTTGGAAAAGGAAGTTATGCCCCCTCAGGGTTATGGGGAATATCGATATATAAAGGTAAATGTTCCATTAGTCATTTGATCAGATAATTGGTATATCAGGTTACCTGGCAAAAATTAAGGAGATTTTTTGTTTCCTGTCCTCGTAGTAAACATAAATAACTCTTCAGGATTCTATTTTAGCTACAAAAATGTAAAAATAAAAACTATCTCTCCAGACGAACTTTCCTTTCTAGTCTATATTTTAATCTGATTTCTTGAAGTTTATCAGTACAAATAAATCAGATACAATATATCAGACATACGATAAATCAGATACGATATCGACTTAAAACTTTTGCAGGTTTTAAGTTACTAAAAGATCAATTAAAGTGACCGCTGTGAGAGGTATAAGGTCATTGAGATAATCCGCACTTGATTTATTGGTAGATTTAATGTATGAAGTTAAACTTTGCAAATTATATCTTGTTATAAAATTACTTGTCTCATGTCACTAGGATTTTTCTGGTGCCTATTAGCAGGATTATTGAGCTGATGTTATTTATAAAAGTTCATAATATTGATTTCTGCTGCATGGTGGACAATAACACTTTAATATTATTTGAGCTTAAAACTTATTTCACAGTAAACATTATCAGTACTTAGTGACCTGTTCATTGGCAATCAATTTGTACTTTCAAAGCTAATTTTGACCTTGAGTATTCGATTATCTTAGTTCACTTCACGTTATATTAACTCAAATAATCAAGTTTTCACAGAATACTGCAACATACAATGGACGTACATTATGTCTGATATAACACAGAGAATATAAGGCAAGGTGGAACATTGTTGCATTCTGAGTATATATATTACAGTTTAAATCCATTTTTATTTTCATACATAGAACTAGTTTATTATGAAAAAGTAAGAATGAAAATTTCGAAAATACAAGCTTTCAGTTCATAAAAATCTTGCTTATTCTTACTAGTTTGAGTAAGAAATTTATTAAAACCTCTCTGTACAATATCTCTTTTTTTCTAAAAAAAAGCATCTGTATTTACATAAATATATACTTCAAACCCAGCACAATACAGATTTCAAAACCTGCAGCTTTTACACTACAAACAATTTGTATTAAGTCTTTTAGCTATTTGTGTTACAACTAATCTCATCGTACAACATCACCATTTCTTGAATCAAAATTAGCTAAATTTTCTCTACCAAGGTTATGTTGAGCTAAAATATTACTCCTAGAGCGGCTGCGGTTTAATTGTGCTCTCCTTTCTGAAAAAAAAAAAGAACAAATATAATTATTACACGCACATAGGAAGAAAAAAAAATGTAAGCAGCAATGAATATAAAATTGCACTTTTTCCTATAATAAGATTATCATTAGCAAAAAAAAAATAAATAAAAAATTATAAACTCCATATATATTCTACAACTAAAAACTTGCTTTTTTCAGGAAAAATAAAGGTTTAAAAAGAAAGGATTAAAAATTTTCAGGGCTTCAGATATGCCTATAACAAAGATTTACAAGACTGGTTCCACTATATTGAAACCATAGAATATTATTTTAAAGACTATGGTATAAATGCATGAAATTAATAAATCCAGAAATAAATTACAAACAAAATATGACTTAAGTTTTTTCTTAGTAAGTTTTTTAAAGAAAAGCTTAATTCTTGTCATAATTTGTACAGTGAAACCTCACATTATAGACACTCCTACAAAACAGGCGCCACTCATTGCAGATATATTTTTGATTTCCTGCGAATCTTTTAGAATGAACCATTATGTACCCTTTCCGAAAAACGGACACTCCAGTAATTAGACGCGGACAGTCATGTATGCCCCAAATCGTTATCTTTTCTTTTAAACAGAGTGCATAGCCCAATCTTTCAACAAAAAATAAGCACCTTTTAAGTACTTTTTAAGCACTATATGCATAACAAAATGCAAAATAATTTTTAAAGACTACATGATCATGATAAAATAACTAGTTTGTGACAAAGAACTCTTTTCTTGATTATATTAGCCATTAAAAAATGATCAAGAGATTTTTCGGTTCGATTTCAGAGGGTGGAAATTGAAGCGTGAAATTGAGATTATATTGCAAAATGTAGTCGTAATTCATTTACGTCGCACTAGAGCTGCACAATGGGCTATCATACCTGCCAACCCGCCAGGGAAAAAAATAGGAACACGTCACGTGGTCGCGACATTAAAGTTTACTTCTTTACACTAAATGTTTGCATAATTGTAACTGTATAAGATTTAATGTAACAATTATTATTGATTATAATACATATCAACTGACAAGATTTCTGATTATTATTATTCAACAAACTAATTAAACAGAAATGATAGCTGATTTTAGTAATTTAAAACATATTTAAAAACAAAATATTTTATTATTACTCAAACATATGTGACAATAAACACATATAAAAAAATAATCAATTATTCTTGTTAAGTGCTACAATTGTAGTAGATTTGGCTGATTTTAAAAACTTTTCATCAAACACTTGTCTATAACAAGGCTGAATCATTTGGGACTTGGTAAATCAAAATTGCCTGCAAAGTAGACGCATTCATGCTACCCCTAAACTCAGTCTCATTTTTTGGAAACATCGCACAAAACAACTTCGATGCGTGGTCCGCAGCAGCTAACGTAATATTGTGTTCAAGGAGAAATCCTGTGAACAATAGTTTGCTTCTAATTGATTGTAGATCAATAGTGGACGACACAAAATCGGAAATTTTTGCTGACTTTTTCATATTTGTATATACGGTAGCATGCTTGGCTGTTTTCCCGTGTGAAATATCACACTTTCCGCCATGTGCTATACTAATGTCTGTATTGCAAGCAATACATAACGCGTACGATATCCCCTTTCTTGATTTTTTGATGAAATCAAATTCTTCACTATAATTCCCGCAAAAACACTATCTTCGCGGAATTTCTGACATTTTTTCAGATTACCACGTGGAAAAGCATTCAAAGCTAAACTTAAATCGAAGAGATGCGCTCCGAGTAAACATTCAACACCGGTACGGTTGCAAGTAAAAGACAAGGAGTCAGGAAGCTAAAATTTCCTCTTGATGTCTGTTAGAGCCCCTGAATTAGACAGGCCAACTCATCATCTATTTTTGCTCCAAAGAGCTAACATAAGCACAATACTAACATAACGTTAACTTGCGAACTTTTTTGCTCCAATATTGCTTGATAGGTCAGCTCTGATAGTATAGGAGCCTTAATGTCTGTGAATCGACCTGTACATACGTCATCAAATATACGAATGTAGCTAGAGGCAGAGCTAAGCGATAACGCGACTTGATTGGATTTCGCCAATCAGACATGGATCACTTTATAGAGTAAAAGAAAAAATTACGTTATGATGAAAAATCGGAACATTTTGACCCAAAATCGTTTTATCGGAACAAGGCATAAAAATCGGAACCGTTCCGATAAAATCTGTACACTTGGCAGCTATGGGCTATTGGCGACGGTCTGGGAAACATCCCTGAGGATGATCCGAAGACATGCCAGCAGAGTTGCACATGAGAGTGCAATAATCTCACCAAACCCAGCTCACTATACGCACATGTGGACTCTAAGTATTTCATCAAACCTGTAAAATAGTTGGCGCTTTCATACATTATGGACTGGATGGTACACTGAAATAGATTGTGGTTGAATGAATTGCAAGACGTTGAATAGAACAATGTGGAAAGCACATTTTTGTATAATACGTGTCAAAAATTGGCATAGCAAAAAAAAAAAATCTCATTTTCGAAAAGAAAAAATTAAGCACTAAATGAAAAAAGCACCTTTAAGGGCTTTTAAAAAACAAAAATCCAAAATAAGCACCTTTAAGCACTTTTTAAAAATGCTACGCACCATGTTAAAATAAGACACCAATTTTTCTAAATTATTTTTTTTTAGCACAATCATCTCTGATTATTTATAAATCATTGCAATTATTCAGAAAACAATTTATGGTATTAAACTTCTTTATTAGTGTACCTTTCTTGAAAACGAACAACTCTCGCAAGCAGACAATTTTTTTGGTCTCAAAAGTGCTCGCTCAACTGGGATTTCACTTTCGTATAAATTTTAACAGAATAATATACTACAATGCAATATTATTTAAAATTGTATGATTATACACAAATATCGAAATGCTTTGACATGTAATAATACAGACAAAAATAATAAGTTCAGACCAAAAATAGATAGAATCATTTAAACACAGCCCACCTAATAGGTAAAAATAAAATTCTGCAAAATAACCTCGTTTAGATTCCACAAAAAGCAATAGTATAAAGAAAATTCATTGCAAACATTTTATAAATCTTCAAGATAAGCAAAAGTGCAATCAATCTTTCAAAGCAAGCAAAATTTATTACTGATTTAAAAATAAAGATACTTTTACATTTATTCCTGAAAGCAAATCATTATAAACAAAGTTAAATTTTCATTCTTCATAGAATACATGCTGAAACTGAATATAAAATATTATACTTTTAAATCAGAGCTTGAATTTTAAATTTTACTGATTTATAATTGGTTCTTTTCAATAGCTCTAAGAGACAGGGCCAGATGTTTTGCCAATCATTAAAAAGTTTCTACTATAAGACTGTATAACCCTATTGTAAAGGATGAGATAACTATATAATAATGGGCTGGAGAATGGAAAAATGTTCGCTAATTAGAGACATCAGATATTCGGGTGTGTTCCCAAACTTAGGGCCTACACTGAAATTAGTATGCTAAAATAGTTGCTTTAGTAGCCTTTAAGCTTAAAAATAGTAGTCTAATTAATATCTTCTGACAAGAAAAGTAGCACATAGGGTAGAATAAATTTAAGAAAAAATATAGAGAATGTTCTATAAAGACTACCCTTGACATGGTTTTTTGTTAGGATACTTATTATAAATGAAAATATAAAGAAATACACATTGGCTCTTTGCATCAAAGGATATAATTTGCTTAACCTTGCAAAAGTGAGGTTAATGATGTAAATTTGACGAGCCTTTTTCACAGGCTTTTGACGTTCAAAGTTTGCTTCCAAGTACCTGTTCTCAGTCATTGCCTAAATTGGGTACAAGAAATGTACCGTTGTTATTTATTTGTGAGCATTGGTAAGTAAATAGAAAGTTTTGGGGCTAACATTATATGCAGACCTGTATAATATACACAACGCTGTTCATGGAAAATTTGCAATCACTGCAACAAAAAAAATTTACTATTACTAAAAAAGAAAGAACATTTCTTTTACAAATTCTCAAGAAGAAAAAAGATTCATTTTTACTCCATTTCCTACCAATGCAAACACAATTTAAAACTACCTTCACAGGACTTAAAATCACACATTGAGACTCCTATTTACGAAATATAAGATCGCGAATCATGTTTTGTATTTTTACGATTTTAAACCAAATATCACGATTCGTATTCATGCGACTTAAAAGCCACTATTATGATTCATGTTCAAGTGACTTAATTGTATATAGGAATTCATGTTCAAGTGACTTAATTGTATATAGGAATTCGTATTCAGGCTATTTTAAAATGAAACATGGAGAATCGTATTCACACGATTTTTAAATCTAATATCTAGATTCATATTCAAGCGATTTTAAAATCAAACATCGAGATTCATATTCACATGATTTTTTAAATTAAAGGTTGAGATTTGTATTCTGATGATTTAAAAATCACATATTCACACAATTAAAACAAATAAATAACATCTTGCCTCAATATTTTTAGTAAAACATTGATAACATTCTGTCAATAAATGCTTCCTACATCAGTGTTCTCCCTAAGCGTTTTCAGAAGGGTGGCCCATTCTGCCTGCTCTTTGATCCCTATAAATGTGCCCTCTTTGTAAAAATTAGCCATCCCTTAAAAACAATTACATTGTAACCCCACTGCATCAACAATTACATTGCCTTTTTAGATAATTTATTTGACTGTTATTTATCCCTTTAGCTGTTTCTATGAGGTTTTTCAAATTTTAATATTTTAGTACTATTTTATTACAACACATGAATTTCAAATATGAGTGACCATATTTTGGTGAGTTCAAATTGCAACGATTCCATCACAATTCTACGCTGTTTTCCAATAATTTTTTCACTTTTTGATTGTCATTTATTTCAATTTCCAGATGCTTCTCCAAACTCTAATATTTTAAATACGATATTAGGAGACTAGAATTTTGAATTAGAGTAATCACATACGGGCGCACTTGAATCGTAAATATTCCCTCGGAATTTTGATATACTCTTATTTTTCCAGCTATTTTCCCATGCAAAATCTGATATTTGTATTATGATTTAAACATGTTATTTCAAATTTGAGCAATCACTTTTGACGCACTTGGTTCACAGTGATTTCATTGTAAATTCATTATCCAATCATTTTTCAAAAGCTATTTATCGCTTTTTTTGCCAGTTCCATATGGTTTTAATAATTTTAATGTTCTTATATTTATTTTTTATGTAATCTGCCTGTTTGTCAACAATATTTTTTTCTAAATAGTCACCTTTTTATGAAAATAGTAGCTCTTAAGCTATTTTTTATAATAATTATTAGCCATACTCTCACCTTCCCTTGGTTTTGATTTTAGCAGCAAATAGTTGCCAATAGAAGCCCTGGAATTGCGAAAAATATCTGAATTTTGAATAAGTGGCTGAGAGTAATCATGTCTAAGTTTCTATTTTAGATTGAAGATCGGATATTCAGACAAAGGCATTGCAATCTTGTCCTTAAATTCAAGCCCTTATTTTTTTTAAAAAATTCAGTCAATTATATAATAAAAAAAAGAGATTTGCTTTTCATCATGCAAAAAACAGTCATGCAATTTTTTAGACACATTAAATACATGCAATAACATTGCATGACATGGTCATAAAAAACAAGACCTGCTTTTCTATATGTGATGGCAATTCTAGTGCTGGTTACTGAACTTCTAAAAAGGTAACTAGTGAAAAAATACAAAGAGGAAATGTTAAAGTTACTTGAAGAATAGTAAATATGGAAAAATAAAATCAGCTTAAAAATTATTGCAAAAATTAATATTCCATCAAAAATTAGATGTAGTAGTTAATTTTAATGGAGGAAAACCAATACAGAAACTACATTAAGTTATTCCATTCAAGAATTTTTAAAAAAATTACTATAAATAAACATTAAATATTATTCACATTTTAAATGTAAACAATTAATGTTTCAAAAATATATAAAATAATTTTAAAAAAAAGGCAAATTTAATACCCTATCCAATTTTCTTTCTGACAAAAAAAGGTGAAAACTGGTCAGTTAAGTTACCTTTTGCTGTACCTAGTAGAATATTTCTCACAAGATCTATATTGTTTTTCTGCTAAATTTACAATACACTTACGATTCTTAGTTACATATTTAATTTTTAATCTTTAATTATTAATTTTTTTTTTACCATTGATATAAGCAAATTCTAAATCTACTTTTAACCGTTGCTTGTAAGACAAATTTGAAGGTGCCAGAATATCTGAACCACATATAAGCCTTATTACATATATCTTGTGTCTTAAATAGATAATTTTTCACCATATTATTGTATTATATCTACAATATGACATTCATAAACATGAAGAGGCACAAAAAGTAAGAAAAAAATATGAGAGTTGGAAAAAGAAAGTGAAATAATCCTATTAACTTCCAATTTAAATTTATAAATCATTAGAATTTGAATATGTTGTGATAGAAATAAATGCAACTGGAAAACAAAATAAAAATTGGATTTAAATACTAAATACAGACCGGCAGCCCCTCTGGCAGGTGCTTTACGTCGAGGTTTGTGTGAAAAAGCAGAACCGGTTTTGAGTGCTTCTAAAAGACTGTCCATAACACCTTCCTGATCTTCTCCTAAGCGAAACAAAACAAAGAAATATTTAAAATTTCATGCATTTGAGCAACACAGCAAATAAGGAACGGATACAGAAAAACAGCTACCTGTTATATCTACTAATTGTTTTTTCTTAGCCATTCTCTCTTGTTTCTCTTTTGCAGCTTTTTCTTTGGCTTCTTTCGCTCTTCTCATCTTCTCCTCGACTTCTCTCGCATGGACAATATCTTTATAGGCTTCCTATTTAAATATTAATGTTAGTAACAGATATAGTTTAGATGTCATGATTGAAAATACACGTAAAAATATGATAAAATTTAATGTTAACTCATGGTAGCAGCTAGTCCAGTTAGTGGTAGAAGAATTATTGTAGTAGTGGTGACGTTCTGATATACATATACGTTTTCCTGAAGAGGCATTATTGCATATGTGTATATTAAACATTGCTTTATTTCAGTCTTTCTCAAAGTGGGCAATAACGCCCCCTTGGGGGCGTTTGAAACCTAGAGGGGGGGGGGCTTTAAGGGGCCCAGAAAAAATGGGGGCGATGACGTGGGTTAGGGGGCGATGTATAATTTGTAATTCCATTTACTTTATATAGTAACTACAATTAAAACCCACATACTACACAATAACGAATAATTAGTTTATATTTCTAACCTGTATGATGTTATAAAAACTTAAAATACTTAACATAGATTTCGTAGGATAGCCCGCACACCGTACGCAATCCAGCTGTAACAAGTTTCTGCGGATAGATAAAGGAACATGATCGATGATAGTTAAAAAATTAGAGCAATTTTACCTTAATTACATTGCACCAGAAATTATTTTAAACATTAGGAAAAAAACTACCATGCAGAGTTTTAAAATATTATACATATGTAAACTAACTTAAATTGAAGTTTTCTTTACTTTCTTTCTTGTTTTTAACATAAGGGCATTTTACAGCATTTTATAAGAAATTACTGATGCAAGAATCATCACTTTTATATAAAATGGAAATACGTATATAATTATTGTTCAAAAGTTTTTTTTTACAATTAGCCCATTACAGTCCAGTGTCTGCTGCTCTTACTCAAAAAGAATATCGGCAGACGTGAGTTCCCTAATTTTCCCAATTTATCAGTATCCTGCAACAACGACAACTTGCTCGTCTACTGCCAACATTTGGAAAATCTTCACAGTGAAAGATTCCAGGACATTTTGAAATTGGAAATACCAGACTGGGTGTTAGATCCTTTTTCAAATGTCAACATAGCAATATCACCCCAGTTGGAAGAAGAACTTATAGAACTGACAACGAACGAAGAAATAAAAATCAAATACAAAAATGGCTACCAACAATTTTGGCTACATAAGTCAATTCCGCAGTTGTACCCTTGATTGTGGTCTATCGTTGGCCGTTNGTATGTGTGATTTGCGTATTGAGAACTGTTTTTTTTCCGACCCTTCCGATTCGGATCGACCCCCATTCGCCCCCCTGTCTCAGATCGACCCCTGCTTTTGTTAAATAGACCCCTGGGGGTCTATATAGACCACTTTGGCGACCTCTGCTTTATAGGAACGAAGAGATGCATTTTTAACGTGATGAATTTTTACAACTAATCATGGTCAGACTGAGAAGCTATTATTGGGCATCTATAAACCCCTAGTCCTAACGTCAGGAGTTTTAAATTACCAGCAAATGAACAGTCACTAACCGATACTTAGGAGTATAGGAAGAGATGCACAGTTTGCATTATTGATAAATAATATAGCCAAAAACAAAACCAACCCCGATTTATTAATATCAAATTTTAAATAGTTTGGCTACTGCTTAACCACTAGAAGACAGCAAGAGATTAATACAACCCTGTAACCAAAACATTTTGTGATTATAAAAATAAAGCAGCTTAAAGTATAAAATAGATTTTGATATTCAAATAGTCGCGACACTGAATTAATGAGATATAAATTTGTATAGAAATAAAAAGTTAGCCGCTACATTGATTGTTAAGAAGAAAATAAAATACTTATACTCGCTTTTTATAAAATGTGATTAAAATTTAACAATTGCTTCAATTTAATTATAATTGGAATAGGAATGATTAAAAAAATTATATTTATTAAATTAAAGAAATTTTAAGAGATAGGAAATATGTAACGCCCATAAAGACATTATATGAAAATAATCATTATTTACAGTGAAACTACATTAACTACATTTCAGAAATTTTGCCAAAATTTTAAAAAGTAACATATTTAAAACCAATAAGCATAACATTATCAAATATAACAAGCAACTGCATAGCATAAATTGTTCTTGTCAATTAAATATGATTACTAGATAAAAATAATTCCTTGTCATTTAAAAAAAAAAAAAATTATAATATTTTACTGTAGTTTTGCGTTTGGCTACAAAGTGAATAACTTAAATAACTACTTCACAAAGCAAGTATCTTAATGTGCCATTTAACAGTTTATAGTTTATACCAATTACTTAGTAGATTAGGGGGATCAGATTCATTTCTGTTTGAGGTAAGACTGACATTTAAGTTGCTCTACGTCTTACTATGTATTAAGAAACACTTAAGTAGATAGAAAAGAGACAACAAAGACAAAATGTTACTTTTTTAAGTTGTAGCAAATTGTTATTTATAATAAATATATTCAATTTGCCAGTTGCTTTACTGTTTCAAGATTTTTTTACAGATTTATATAGACTTTAAAAAATTCAAATGCTAAATGGTTAATTTGGAAGTTAATCCAAAACTTCTGACAACCAAGGGTTGCTTTATTATTTTAAAATGTTAATACATTTTTTATAGGTTTATCTAGATTTCAGAAAATTAAAATGTTGGTTTATTTAAAAGTTAGTCCAGAACACCTAACAACTCTTTTCATATTTAAGCAACAAACTTCAGCATCCAGCTTAGTCTTCGTCATATTTGTTAACCTCCCTAATTGACTCTCATTAATCACGCTTGAACTGTAGGTTTAAAAAATATATAGAGTGATGCATTTAATATTAAATTACCATGAAAAAGCAAGAAAACTAATAACAAGTTATAATAACCAAAAAATAAAGATACCTTAAGTATAAAAAAAACTAATTAAGTATGGATGGGGAACTGAATATAAACAATGATAAGAATCTGAAAATCAGAAGAAATTTACGTTATCTCCATTTATACTTATGTCTAAGGAAATGTTTTAACAGGATCGATATTCCAGAAGGTTTTATCATTGCCACGTGTTTAAATTTACACACAATTTTAACATTCATAAGATTTTTCTGCAATTTATAAATTCTAAAAGATCGTGAGCCTTAAATCATTTTCAAAAATTATTATCACGGTATAAATAAAACATAAGGTTTGTCATTTTTTTAGTGCTAGTCCTTATTTGGCTATATTTATGTATAATATTATCGTTTATTATGTTTTGAGCAGCATCATAGCATGCTTGTGGAGTTGTTTAAATTCGTTTACAGTCATATAGCATAAAAATGAAACAAAAGAATTTGTTATATTGTAACACTATAATTATAATATTATTGGATGAAGTGCTTTTTCCCACTCAGATGTAAAAATAAATCAGAAGTAGTAACCCAGAAGTTTTACAATGAATTTTAAGCATAAAGCACTTCAACTGTGGCATTTATATTTTAAATATGTGGCACATGAGACTACAAATAAATAGCTGGGGAAAAAATTGTCAATTATATAATTTCAATGATATTATTAAATTGCAGAAAAGGATACATTGTGTATTCCTATAATAATAATAATGGATGAAGTGTTTTTTCACACTCAGATGTAAAAATAAATCAGAAGTAGTAACCCAGAAGTTTTACAATGAATTTTAAGCATAAAGTACTTCAACTGTGGCTTTTTTATTTTAAATATGTGGCACATGAGACTACAAATAAATAGCTGGAAAAAAAATTGTCAATTATATAATTTCAATGATATTATTAAATTGCAGCAAAGGATACATTGTATATTCCTATAATAATAATAAAAATTACTTACTAATATTAAAACTACTCAATTTTACTTACTTGGAACATGTCCTTAAAAGTTTTAATGTCATTGAAAAACTCATCCGATTGATATTTTTTAGAATCAAAAGCAAAATATTCAGACAAATCATTATAAAGCTTCTCCATTTGCTTGAACATATTTTCTAAAATTTCATACTGCATTGACGCTTCCGTCAGAAAACTCTAATAATTAGTTAAGATTAAATAACTTAAAAACGTATTATAATACAAACAAAAATCAGATGTTACTTTAATATTATAAAGAATGTCAGAACATATAACTATGTATGTCGATAACTATATATTTTCTAAAAAGAGAAAGAAAATGGGGAAAAATACACTTATTTTTACTGTTACTGCAAATAAGTCATAAAAGCTAACAGGACTTAGTATCGACAGGTATGCTGCCAATTCTATAAATCAAGGCCCATACTAAGAACTTAAAATTATTAGCCAGTAAACTAGCCAAATATCTTATTAGCTAATAAAATTGCAGTGACGTATAAAAGTTTTCATTTTATTTTGATACATTGTGCAATGGAGAAAAAAATACATCACATTTTTATTCTTTTTTATTTTTAAGTTAAGTGATGTACAAACACTAGGTTTTAAATCAAGAATGTTGAATAATCTTTACTTTTGAAATAAATAAATAAAAAAAATGAAAAAGAACTCAAACTATTATAAAATTCTATTAACATGAAAGGGGAAAAAAAGAGAATTTTACAATGTCAAGAGAATGGCATCTTAAAAAGCATTTTTTACATGCTGAGTTGTCAAACACATTTTTAAAACAAAAAGGTAAAACAAGACTCATAACAAATTTTGTCTAAATACTGAGTTTTTTCTCAAAAATATATATATTTAATTCATTTTAAATAATTTTCTGCTCAAAGGATACAGACATTACTTCAGCAAATCTATCTTCTTCACTATGAGGACGGAAATTTTTCAAATCAGTCTCTAACTGTTTAACTGACTTCTTCATTTGACTTAAATTCTTCTGTATCTGTTCAGAGGACACTGCAAAAAAAAAAAAAATATATTATATTCACGCTTGTTTTACCTGTTAGCTCTGAATGAGTCAATATGGTCATCAAGTTTGTAGAGCATTAAGAAGAATTATTACAATTAGGCTTTGTTTTTTTTTTTTTTTTTTTTTTTTTTTAAGGCGACATGGGAAGGGACCTTCAAATTCGATAAAAATGACGAAAATATCAATTTTTTATTTTTACTCTCATTAAATAATCGATATCGTTTACTTTCATATAAAAGAAAAAAATTTCGTTTTGGACAATTTTGTTGGAAGTTATCAGCATTTAAAATTTTGTAAACAACCTGCCACGCCCCTTTTTACAGCTGTAGCTGAAGCACGCAAACCGAAACTAATTGTAATTTCTCAAAAATTAATAGTATTTTAATTTTTTTTAATGAATTTTTGCTCACCATAAGTTTACTAACTGTTACCTGCACTGTTTGTAGCGTCACTGATTTGTTTTTGCTTACATTGCAATTCGCTACGTCTATTTTCCTACACTTCTACTAGTATTATTTTGAAATATTATTCCTGAATTGTTTGAGATATGAATGCAAAAGCTTCTAAATTTATAAAAGATATAAATAACAGATATTTCATTCTTACATATACTTGTATCAGAGTAGTATTTCTGCTAAAAGCATTTTTACTCACCAAAAAAGTACCCATCGCTTAATTTTTTTGGAAAATTAATATTATACGAACAAAATAAAATAAGCTGCAGGAATATAATAATTATATTTTTTTAAACACAGTTCAGTATATATCTAAGTTTTACAAGACGTGTAATTATTTGTAAATAGTAGTAAAAATATATAATTTTTTTACTAAAAGAAACCTAAATATCTTATTCCAATTTTTCAGCATTTTAGAAAAGTTCCTGGCGGTTTAATTTTTATTCAAATCATTTAAAAAAAATTGTTCNTTCTAAAAAGAGAAAGATAATGGTGAAAAAATACTTATTTTTACTGTTACAGTCAATAAGTCATAAAAGCTAACAGAACTTAGTATCGACAGGTATATTGCTAATTATAATAAATCAAGGCCCATTCTATCATCTTCTTATTAGTTAATAAAATAGTTCTCACATAAAGTTTTTATTTTATTCCGATAAATCGTGCATAGGAGGGGAAAAAAACATCACATTTTTATTCTTTTTTATTTTTAAGTTAAGTGATGTACAAACACTAGGTTTTAAATCAAGAATGTTGAGTAATCTTCACTTTTGAAATAAATAAAAAATAAAAAAGAACTCAAATTATTATAAAATTCTATTAACATGAAAGGGAAAAAAAGAGAATTTTACAATGTCAAGAGAACAGCACCTTAAAATGCATTTTTTACATGCTGAGTTGCCAAACACATTTTTAAAACAAAAAGGTAAATTATAGCAAAAATTATAGCAATTATATAGCTTTACATAAAATTATATAAAGGCAAAATTATAGCAAACTTTGCCTAAATACTGAGTTTTTTTTAAAAAAAAAAAAACATATATTTAATTCATTTTAAATAATTTCCTGCTGAAAGGATACAGACATTACTTCAGAAAATCTATCTTCTTCACTATGAGGACGGAAATTTTTCAAATCAGTCTCTAACTGTTTAACTGACTTCTTCATTTGACTTAAATTCTTCTGTATCTGTTCAGATGACACTACAAAAAAAATATCATGTTTAGGCAATTACCTGTTAGCTCTGAATGAGTCAATATGGTCATAAAGTATTACGAAGAATTATTACAATTAGGCTTGGCTTATTATTTAAACATGTTTATAGCAATCTTCGAAGACTGTTTTTTTTTCCTTTCATTTTAAGGAGAGCATTTGTTAAGTATTAAAAAATATTCAGGAAAACTTTAAAATATTATTAAATATTCCACATTACTATTATATATGTGGAATTAGAAGTTTTGATCATTGAGTATCAAAATTTAAAACAAAACAGTACAGTTCTGCAAGGTTTAAGCCCCACAGGACAACTCCTACTCGCAAAAAATCATATAAATTATCATAGTAGTTCAGACGCCATGAAACACTGTGCCAACCTTTTACAGGGAATCCATGATTTTGTTAAGAATATTACTAATATAAAAAAATATAAACTATAAAAAAAAATATAGCAGTAATACTAATTATTACTGCTATGTTTTTTTAATGGTTTTTATCTCTTTCTTGGCCCTTGGCTTCAGAACTTAAAAAGTACTCTTGGTAAAAATTAAAATGAACTATTTATAAACCCAATGATTGTGGCAAACCTTTTATTACTTGATTTTCAATTATGAATTTTTGTGTAAATGTTCTTAGCAGTAGCAGAAAGACAATCATCTACTTATAGAACTGATTTCTCCTCATCAATAAAATATTAATGATTATAAAATAAAGAGGATAAATTGAAATATCAGTCAAATTTTAAATTTTTGGAAATATGTAATGCTTATTTTGATATGGCACTCCTAGAGCAGAAAATAAATAAAGCAATGCAAAAACCACCTTTACCTCTAGCCGCTCTATCAACATGCATCAATTCCTCAGCGAAATTTAGGACATCAGGATATTTTTGTTCAATGACTTCAGCCAAATAATGCAACAGAGTTGTTTTATGATCTGCAGCTTTTGTTGAATTTAACTGTAAATTTAAAGATAGATCATGAAAAACCAATATAACAATTATAAATCAAGAGGATTACAATAAAATTTATCAAATGACAAGTACTTTGGTCAGCAAACTAATTTCAAATCCAACAGCTTGTTCATTTCGAGAACCAGCATTCATGTAGTTTCCTATTAAGAGAATGATTTGCAAAAGGAGGCAAAATTTTTTGCTTTTCTTCACTTCCTCACAAGCAGCAGTTGCAGCAACAACATCCTAAAATGGATCATAAATGTTAAACATAACTTTTCAAAAGCTAATCAATGTGCAGCACAAATTAATTTAGATCTTTTTAATATCACTCACTGGCTTGATATCTTGCACAAGTTCTTGAAATCTCATTTTAAAACTGATGGATTTTAACCTAGGTACTAATCTTTTAATGCTCCCCATCTATAAAAATTAAAATCGAATTATGAAAGGAATACATATCAGAAAAGATATAGTTTAATTTACTTAAATAATCTATGTAGCTTTCAGGAACTACAACTTTTTGTTCCAGTACAGAAATCCTACAGCATGACAGTAGGCGCTGCGGATTATCAGAGCATCTAAAGATTATTTTCACAGATTTTTTTTTTTAAAAAAAAGCATAAAATATTACTGAGAACAGAAAAAGAAAAATGATTTTTAATTAAATAACTATATGATTACAGAACTTCACAAAATTTGTTTGCCAAGTTGCAAATATATAAACAAAAGAAAAGTAATGACTTCTGAAAATTTTAAATGTTTTTTTAATTAACAGGAATTTTGAGAAGGAAAAAAAGAATTTAAAATACAAAAAAAAATTAACAATTAAATTCTTAATTTCTAAAAATTCTAATTACTTGTTTATATACTGTATAGGGACTTATTACATTTTTAAAATTTCCAATTATTCCATTCATATAAAAAGAGTGTAAGAATATTTAATTCAAATTACAGATTTTTAATAAATTTTTTTAACCCTAATTTTTATCTACCTTACATGTGCTGATTCTGCTGTAAACATGCTAGATAAAACCTGATTTTTACAACGATAGTCTCTTTCTGAGAGCGTTAGAGTCAGAAAAATATTTAAATTTATGAAGAATGTGCTGCAGGTAGACTATGTAAATTCTGCTACTGGGGCTACTGCTAACAGTAACTCAGTTACAACATCAGTTTTTTTTTTTTTTTAAACTGTTTCTACAAGAAAAAATTTTTATATAATGAATCTTAAATATGAATATCTAATAATCTTAAATATGAAAAGTCAAATGGGATAAATATTGATTTCTTTCAGATGAAAATAGAAAAACATGTGGGTTTAAATATAATAAATTAATCTTTACCATGCAATTAATTTAAACCTACATATTTTTCAAGTGCATTCTGAGAAATAAAAATTTCTAACCCCTCACCTCAATCAATGATTTTAAAGTTTTATTTGACTAACTTTTATTCATGGAATAGTTTTTGAGTGTGTATGTATGCATATTTNACTCATTAGACAAGTTCAAAATGAAGAATAAAACAAAGAAAAATAATAGACATATGAAAAAATAGAGACTTGCAGCTTAAGCTCAATAAATGAAACTTATTGTCTTTCTTAACTTTCTTCGTGTTTTCTTGTATTTATTATGTATATATATATATTCATTTATTAGGTCTAAAATTATTGACAATGAAGTTAATCTGAAATTAACAACTCTTTCCTTTTCTTGCTAGATTTATCAAAAAAAAGGCACAAAAATTTTACAACTGAAAAGTTTTAGGAGAGAAACAATGTTCTAATTGGCTTCTTGGGAATAAAAATTTTTAAAAAAAAAAAAAATTCTTTTAGAAGAGATGTTTTTTGTCGTATTTGGAAGTCAACTTTTCATTCTAGTTATTCGTAAACAAAAGTACAAGAATACATATAAAATTAACAAAATTCAAATTACACCAATTTCAATGGGGATGAAAAGGACCTTAAACAGGCCAAATGCAGCATACACTTCAAGTCGAATATCCAGTATCAGGGAACAGTATCTTTTATTTTATCTTAGTATTAATATTTAAAAGTATAAGATTAGACTATATTTTAATTTTGTATATATTTTCATCTATTTTTCTTTAAATAAGCTTTTAATTTCAAGTCAATGTATATTTTAAATAACGAAATATTAATAATGCTAATAATTGACAAAGATCATTAAAATATATTATTTGACCCATTTGAAATTTAATTTTCAAATATCATATATGCAAGATTTATAAAAAAAATATACAAAAATATTATTTGAATCAATTTGGTCTCTGTCATATTTGACATCAGTCTCAGTAACTTGTTTCATTGCAATATTACTAAATAACTTTCTCGGAGACCATTACTTTATTGCAATATTTGTGTGCTGCAATAGCTGCCAACTAAGCTGATTTCTATTCAAAATGAAATTTGAAAAATTAATAAAATTACAATCATAAATGACTAAATCTTTATTTTATAAGATTTTTAATTTTACTTCCTTATGAAAATCACAATGGTATCATCTTAAAATACATATAGTTATGCTGTGCCTACATATATAGATGAAACTATACATATTAATTAATTTATTTATATACTAAAAATACTACAATATGATTTTCAAACTTTTAAAGCAACATGTGTGAAAACATTTATATCAGTGGTTGATTACATAGCTTGCTTTTGAAGTTGATTCTTGACCTGTGACTGTGAGTTTTTAATTTTCTGATGATTTTTATTGATTTTCTTTTCGTAATTTGTTTATTCTTTTGAATGTATCTTGTTTTTCCTGGACCTCTATACAAAACCATCGGGGTACTGAGGGAGATATTTNCAGGACTGCCCAGCATAATTTCATTGTTTTGTAACAATCATAATTGTAGAATATTTGAAAGTTTCTTCAAGAGAAAGAAATATCAGTATAAAATTGCAATTTCCAGCATAAATCTGAGTTATTTATTAAATATTACTTTATATTTAGATAAATGAAAAAGCAGCATGGCTCAGCAGGAGAGATCAATGGGTTGAAGCAAAATAAAGATTTTTACAAAGTAATCATTGTATGAGAGCAAGAAAATGAATGGAATAATCCAAAATCAAAGTGCTTTCTCTCATAAGTAAGGGAAAATTTTGAAAATAAGTCCCGATGAGCTTTTAAATCACACAGAAAAAAGGGGATATTAGTAATTACAATTGGTCCATTAAATAGGTCGAGGGAATAATGTGGTTCTCACAGTTAGTAAAGGGTAAACTTTAAAATGTTAATTCATCTATTCTTGAATCCAAAAATAGAAAGAGGAAGTGAATAATTAAGGGCCAGAAAGCAGTTAATTTTGAATAAGAAATTACGAAGGAGAATTTAGATAAATAAAATGAAATAATTAGTCAAAGCTTCTTATGTTACATAACTATTTATTTTGGGCCAGATAATACTGCCTGATAATCAAAATATCCGGCCAACTGGCCAGATACATACTGAAAGCTGAAAATATCTACCTCTCTAAATTTCAAGGTGCTTATTCTACTCAATTATACATAGTTATGTACGTAATATTAATAATATAGTGCATGAATTTTCAACTAAATAAAAAATTTAGTGTTACTTTTTTAAGAATGTTGGCTGCAAACAACAAAACTTAGTAAAGCTTGACAGTTAAGGTGAAAAAAAATATTTTTAACAGATCATTAAAAAAATTCTCAGAAACCATAACTTTTATATCTTGACGGTAAGACCATCGACCACCTCAAGAACACAAAATGGTAACAATTACGAAGAACCTGTAATAGTTAGTACTTCTGAACTATACACCATTACATGAAAGAAATAAAGGCAGAGCAAACTCAAATGAAATTTCACTTATGAGTTTCCAATCATTCTTCAGCTATTCAATTTTGTCAAAATACGCATTGAGCATGCAAGGTGGCAATCAAAAACAGATAAAATTTGTTTCTTTACAACTTTACATTTTAAATTATCAGATCAATTTATTATCTATTTTTTTTAATTAAATATATATTTCTATAAATATACATACTGTGACGGCAAATTGTTCAGCTTCTGCTAAATCATTATACTGATCTTTAAATTGTTCTAATCTTGCTAGCTGTTCTGGTTCCGGCATGTACCGTATTAACTGTTGTAACATGGCATCAGTTAGTTGTTCCTCATCAACATGCAATATGTATTTTACCATGTCATTTGTAGATATTTTAACAGATCCCAGTAGAATCACTAAAATAAAAGTTAAAATAAAAATTAAACAGCTATAAGCAATATTTTTAAAATTATAAAAAATAAACTGAACAAACGTAAAAGTTGTATTGTTCAATATAAAAATTGAAACTCAATTTTCTTCACACTTACTTAAATTTTGTGCAGATTTGGCATCTAAAACTTTCAATTCTTTTACTTTTTTAGCTGGTTTCTTCTCATCAGGTTTATTTGTATCTTTTTTAACTTTAAAAATGAAAGAAAAAGAAATTAATAAAGGAAAATGAGGGGAAAAAATACAGCTAAAATATAAGATTCAAAATAAAATAAAAAGGTTTTTAAAACATATCTTTACCGAAAAAGAGCATTGAATTTTGTTTTTCCCAAGTATATAAAGCTTGATTACGGATTATATTGCTTATAAAAAGTGTAGATTACATAATATATAGATCATATATAATAGTAGTTGATACATAATAGTAGATTATATAATACACATCAAGCTTTAGATTACTTAAAGCTTGAGTATAGATTATATACGAAACTTAATCAAATTGCAATTAGAAAAAAATAAATTTTTAATACTTATAAAATTCATGTCAATTATAAAACTTGGGTTTGGCATTTAATCAATGGCACTTAAAATAATATACTAACCATACTACATCAAAATACTAAAATATTTTAACAAAAAGCATTTTAGTATTTTGATTATCATAACTGCCATTTTATAATTAATATTAAGAACAGATACAAAGCACAGTAGTACGTTAGAGTGAAAACATACCAAATAATCTTTGTATTGACGGAATTTTAATAATAAATTATGTTTGTATAAGCACAGCAAAAATTGATCTTTTTAAAAACTTGGAGTTTTTAAAGGTTTCAGTCATGAAAAACAAAATTCAAAGAATTAATGCAAACATTTCATAAGTTTATAATAGTTTAAACCTTTCTTGTTTTTAATTTTTTTATGTAAATCAAACCTTAATATCATAAACTGGGAAGGTGACACAAAAATACTTAAAGCATGAAAAACTGGCATTTTTAACCTTTTAAGTGAAGTAATAAATGCATTGGACTTTTAAAAGTAATATAGGATATCTGCACTTGAAGAACTGGAAAATAATGAGACTCTATTTTCTATTAATATTTTATCATCAATAACTTACTCGATTTTAACTAACAATTTTCATCAATATAATAATAATCAATATAATACATTACATATTTTTAATTTTTTTCCTGCTAAACCAGGTTTTCTGAATTTGAAATAGTTTTAAATTCAATAGATTTCCTTACAATGTTTTATCTTTATTTGAGATCTTTGGAGATACTTTTTTTTCATTTCAACTTGTTTATCTTCTGACATAGCAGTCGAATATATCACCTTATTTATTTTTTTCTGATTTTTCTTGGAGACGAAAAATACCAAAATTGTTCGAAACCCTTTATCAGTATCAATTTCTTCAGGATCCATTACATGTTTTATTCAATCATTTTGTAAAGAAATTCTTTAGAATATTATAATTGCATGGTTGCTTACAATGTGCTTAGCCAGGAATAAGTTTTGGGAGACCACTACAATGCAGTCAACATACAATATCATTAACAAAGTAGGTTTTTATTTAAATGGTTCTCACATTTTATGTCTTTCTTATTGTTAGGACAATAAGTGATTCATAAAATTAATCAAGAAGACGCTACTGTCTGGAAATCATGAGATGAGCTCTCCATGAAACTATCAGTCAGTCACCACTACAAAACCCACAATAAGTACCGACATACAACAAAGATGTATTTTTTATAAATGGATTTAAAACATTATCTCCTTCTTATTGTGGTGACAATAAGTGATTCATAAAATTAATCAAGAGAGAAGCTCTCGGTGAAATTGCTGTTAGTGGGGACAAGGACTTGTCACGCAATTGTCTGGCAGCATGAAAACTGATTTTCAAGAAAGCATTTTAAAAAACTAACATACAAGCAGCAAGAATATTTCATGTAAAAGGAAGTCTAGAACTAAATTTTTTTGTCTAAAAAATTTCTTTTCTCATGCGTGGAAAAATATTACAAAGTTTGACTTTACTTAACAAAGCAAAGATCATAAGCAGTATTGATACAATTCAAAGAAATGCATGCTATAAACAATCTCACATCCTTGAGTCGAACTTATCCTGAGTTTTATTTTAAGAATACTTAGTCTTCTGATGGAGAAAAAATCAATATCATTATTTAAAATTTTTTTACAGAATTTAGCATTTAGAAAAAATCATAATACATATTTAAGAATGTGAATCTCAACCATTTAAAATAATTTTTAGATTTTTTTTATACATTTATTTTACTAAGAACCTTTTAGATAAAACCTATAAAGATTCCTTTCTGCACTCAATGTTCAAGTGCCTTAAACAGTTTTCACAATGATAATAATAATATAAAATTAAATTAAATGCTGATACTTTTAGTGTAATTTAATTATTTTTGCAAAAAGTAGTGAATATTAACTAGCATATAAACACTCGTTAGACACATTTATAAATATTTTGACCAAAAATATTTAACAAAAAATTTTCACCTTGAGGCTTAGAAGAAAATTTGGAGGACAGCATTTCAAAAATATCTTCACTAGCAAGCTTTTCTTCATGAACTGATACCCAAAAAGCTTTTTCTGATAACTTCTGTGGATGAATCTACAATTGAAACAGAAAAATATCAGTTTACGACAGCAAAAAAAAAAGGAATATCAAAAAAAAAATCAAAAAAATCTGAGATTTATTTAGCAAACAAAAATACTATAAAAAGCCCTGTTAGCCCAAGAAAAAATTTCCATTTTACTTAACACGCCATAAATGTAACAATTTATCATACCAATAATTTATTATTAATCACTAAATCAAACAAATTTTTAGCTTTACCTTTTTCCAGTTTACTCGTTTTAATGGAGTGTCTAAAACATATTTCTTCTTGGGTTGCATTCCATGAGGCAAAACATTAGTTGGCGGTGGATTAGGGGAAAGACCACCAGGTGGAGGAGGTGGAAATCTCATTCCGCCCATTCCAGGAGGAGGTGGTGGAGGAGGAGGACCACCCATACCTGGAGGAGGAGGTGGTGGTGGCGGACCCATTCCAGGCATGGGAGGAGGTGGGGGAGGACCCATTCCTGGCATTGGAGGGGGAGGAGGTATTCCACTGCCAGGCATAGGTGGTGGTGGTGGAGGACCACCTCCAGGAGGCGGAGGTGGTGGAGGAATAAAAGATCCACCCATTGGATTAAATCCTTCTGGTAGTTGAGGTAATTTGCCCTAAAACAGAGTGTTCATCATAAAAATTTAAGTATTGGTAATCACTTTTAAAAAAGTGCAAGTTTGATATAAACTTACTCCTTTACGAACTTCAGAAATAATTGCTTCATATTCCCGTAATTTATTCTCAATTTGTGATAATTTGGCTTCAGATTCTTGTTTTGCAGTAAGTGCATCTTCAAGTTTTTTGCTAAGCTCTTCGCCAACCCGATCTTCTTCCTGTTTTGATTTGTCAATTATGGTTTCTGTAATAAAAAAAATAAATGCAACGAATAATTTTATATACATACATATATTTTCACTTATCAAAAAAAAAATAGAGAATTTTATGATTTTTAATTATTTGATTTATTTTTTAAAATAATAAACATTACAAACCAAAAAAAAAAAAAAAAAANAAAAAAAAAAAAAAAATACTACTTTATATCTTACCTATTAAAGGTTCAACATCAATTTTAAAACGCTTTGTGTGTCTGAAATCTGGATCACAGCCACTTTTGTGTAATATAATTTGTGAAACACATTCTTCTATTAATCTATAATATGCAGACCTAAAAGAAAATAACTTAATTCAATATTTTGTTTATTCTTGTAAAACACAAAAAAATATTGCTCCACATAACTATCTAATATGATTCATTGAAATAGCTACTCAAAGATTTTAATAACACAATAAAATGAATAATAACACAAGATAGAACAGCTAAAATATTAAACAGCACATTGAATGAACAAATACAACTGCTTTACTTGTTTCTGTAAAGGCATGCTGAAGAATTCTCAGAATTCTTAATTGAAACATCAATAATTGAAAGCATATGTCTGTGTAAAATTTAAGTTTTTTTCAATAACTGTGTAACGAAAAAAAAAGTTCATTATAAGTTGAATAATTTAAAATTGTATATTAGTTTCGTTAAACAATATATTAATTTGGTTAAAAGTTAACTTTAAGAGTCCCCCTCAGGCTTAAATAAGATTCAACTTCTTCCATGCTAACTTATTATGAATTATAAAAACACAATTTCTTTATAATTCAGAAATTAATAAATAATTTTTATTCATTGAAACATGTTTCATTCAACCTTCTCAACAAATTTTAAGGCTCTACCTTTAAAACATTTTCATCAAAGTTCCAGATTTAAAAATACCTACAGGTTAGAAATTTAAAATTTGGCCACTAGATTCAATGGAGCATATTTCAAAGGAGAAAAATTATTAATTAGTTACTGAATATATATAAAAAAAATAATAAATACCATTTGTAATTCTTCAGTTTACCTAAGGAAAGTTGAATCTCTTTACTGCTGAATAAAAATTTTATCTAGATTTGAGTAATAAATGTAAAAGTGATTACATTACAGTAAATTCAAAATGTATTCATGTTCTGAAAAAAAGCTACGAACAGCCATTTTGAATATTTATGGAGATACTCAGCCATTAAGTTTGATTATACCTATTAACTTGTCATTACTGTCTAAAAGATTATCCTTAAAATAACAGCAAAAAAATTTTAATGAAATTATTGTATAATATGTTGCATTTATAGAATTTGGAGGGGGGGGGGAATGTATCTCAAATATTTTAGTCAAGAACACACTTTAGAAGTTAGCAGGGATAGTACCATATTGAGAATTACAAATTACATTGAGATATTCAAATAGATAAATCATTATTTCTAAATTTCATCATTTCATAATTCTTATAGCTATTTATTCTTTGCCTATGATTAAGAATTTATTAAATCACATTATTCATAGTTAAGAAATTATGAGTGAGAGTAATTATTTTAAGAATAAGAGTATTATTTTACAAGTAATATAATTTAAAAAATAAATTGATCAAGTAAAGTTTACAAATCCAAAAAGAAACTAGTTTTAAAAGTATAACAAAACTAAAACTTAACATTTTTATTAAATTATGTTGAGATAAATTATGTTAAAAAAAACAACTGATATATTACTATGTAAATATTTTAAGAATAAAAATATTATTTTATAAGTAATATAATTTTAAAAAATAAATTGTTTAAGTAAAGTTTAGAAATCCAAAAAGAAACTAGCTTTGAAAGTATTACAAAACTAAAACCTAAATTTTTATTACATTATGTTGAGTTACATTATGTTAAAAAAAAACAATTCATATAATATTACTATAAATTACATAATAAATTAGTATAACTATTTAAAAAAGCTTTTATAATAAATAAATATTCAGTTTTTTTTAATTAATTATAATAATTATAATTTTTTTGTGACTTTTTCTACCTTTTTTATGTTACCAATTCGACAATTATTTTTACATATCAAACACTATATACATTTACACAATTGCAAAATTCGAAATATCTTAACTTTAACATATTGATGAGCCTTATCTAAAAAGGGAGTCCTCAGATTTCTCTCAGAATTTTTTTAAGACTATACTCCAATTAATGGTATTTTAACCCTATAATGGTAGGTTTATATGTGAAAAACATATTTGTAAGAATCGTTTAAAAAATCAAATACTTTTTTTTCTAAACTTCTGACTATTCAACATAAATATCAGGAATTCTTCCATGTATTGAGAACTACACTAACTGGAATACTTCTGAAAATTTAAAATTATATATAATTATTAACTTACCTTACAGTAATGTCATCCCGAATACAAAGCAAATGTTGTAAAATTGATAAGAATTCACTTTCTGCCGGAGTATCTGAAATTGATTGCCTTAGTAATTCATAGCAATCAGTCATATCTCTATTTTTAAGTTAAGATCTAAACAGACAAATAATTTCACAATGAAAAAAATTGGAAGTCTGTACATTCTATATAATTTATTTATTTTTTACCAATAATTAATAACAAAAATTCCTTAATTAATAAGAAAATTCAGTGCAAACTTAATATTGTAAATTCAGATAAGAACAAAAAATCCTTATATTTCATGGTAAATTCAATACTTTAAATATGGATAAACATAACTTAAATTTTTATTTTAAAATAAGTGTTTGAATTCAAAGAGTAATTTAATTGTGGTAATAAAATAATATAAAAGCTCCTTTTTTATTTCTGTGATACTTTTCTAGCATTTTTTTTTTCAATATTTCCAGAATGTTAATAATTAAGAACATAAACAATTTAACATTTCACTTTTCTTACTAATTCAAAAAGTAAAACATTTTGTTAATTAACAAAAATTTCCTTAGTTCCTTCAAATGTTTAATATTTAACTTATAAAATTCTTTCTAACTAACATCATTTAGTATGTGAGCTTTTAAAGTGAAACATTAGCTAAAATTCATACAAAACATATTTTTAAAAAAAGCTTGCAAAAAAAAAAGAATAAGACCAGTCAAATACTTAGTAAATAAAGTTCATGATATCTTAATATTAATAATCAGCAACATTAAAGAAATATATTTATTCAAGGAGGCTTAGTTCAATATCATTTTACGAATTTAACTAATTCAGGATTGCACCCTTTCTAGAAAGTAAACTAAAAGTGGCACACTTCCAAAGAAAAAAACTAACATTTTTGAGTACCACCTATTCTAATATATATACTATGATTGGTCTATGTTTATCAGACATAGCCTGTGTCTAATGCTTTCTTAGTTGAATGTTTCTAAGTTCTATTCTTAGCTGTGTCTAATGCTTTCTTAGTTGAATGTTTCTAAGTTCTATTCTTTGCTGTGTCTAATGCTTTCTTGTGATATTTTGTAGATGGGTTTTCCAAAAATGTTTAGATATACTTTGTAGTTTAACTCATGGATTGATTGAAATCATAAAGATAAGCAGCTACTCTAAGAAAAATTATAAACTTTTAATATTTAAATGTTGATGCTTAATGATGTTAAGGTTAGAAAATCTTTGAGCAAGAAAAACATCAGTTTACTAATAAAAATACTCTTTTATACATTAATGAATAAAATGTTCAATAATTCTTTGTTGAGAATATCAGGATGGTTTAACTTATGAATAATTACATTTCTTGCAATTTTAGTGCAAATCATTTCAACAGGTGTTGGTACAAATATCACATAAAATAACATGTTGAAAATAAAATATAAGGAATAGAGTAATTATAAATCAATTTTTTAATTACTCAAATGAAAAAGATTTTTTAATTATAAATTTGGAAAAATGGAAAGAAAAGTGCAACCAAGACTTAGAGACCCTTAAAAGTATAAATCCTCCTGACTTTAGATCCAAATGTTTAGTAATAAGAAAATATTTTGCCAAGCAGGAGTAAAAAACCAAAGATTTGGTAATATCTATTGATTACTGCTATGAACTCTTTTCTTAACTTTAAAATGCCTTGGTGGTAGAAGGTTAATAAGAGTTATTTGCAGTCAAAACCTTGTCATGGTTATTGAATTTTGTGTAAATTTTTAAGCAGATACAGGAAAACCATTTGCCGACCTGATTTCCACTTGATTACATTCACACAGAAAACAACAATTTAAGGAATTGTTATTTTTTGAGAGGATAAATAAATGAAACATTAACTTTTAAATTATAGTAAATATTTTATCTCTATTTTAGCATGCTTTTATTTTAAACTCTTAATCAAACATTTATTTAAGCTGTAAAAAAAAATTCTACGCAAAAAAGGATACTCTAATTCTAATCGAACATTTTCATATCGCTGAGAGAATTCATCAAAATCTTCTTCCTTATGGTCTTGAAAAATTTTCAATTGAATACTCAGCTCAGCAGTTTGATTTCCTTCGGCTTGCAAGTTCTAACAAAAAAAAATTTAAAAAAGACAATTTTATAATGATTGTAAGAGGATAACACTAAGAAAAATAAAATATAAACAACGTAACACTACTCACTTCCAAAACATCAATTAGGCCTGATCTCATGAACTCATTCCTTAAATGCAAACGGAAATCCAGGTCATCTGGAGAAGTTACTAAAGCATTTATTAGCTGTATACAGGCTATCTATGAATGAGAAATAAAAATCTATTAAAAAAACTAAGTCAAAAACTTTTCAAACTGAAAAGATTTTAAAATCCTTGATTTTCTGGAAACTCATCATTGAAATTAAAATTTAAAAAAATTTATAAATTAAAATGATTCCATACCTTTTGTTACTTTAAATAATTATATTGTGGGGAAGTATAGCCCAAACCTCATATTTATCGATGAGTAATAATATTGGGCACTTATTTGGTTTAGCAAAAAAAAATTTTACTTTGAGAAACAAGACATACTGTCAGAAATAATAATGTTTTCCTTCAGTGAAAAGCTAAGCATTTTACACTTTAGTATAAATTCCCACAGTTACAAATGTTAAATAACGAAAAGAGCATGAAAAAACATCAGCTGGATGTAGTAAAAAACCCTAACATTTTACTAATATCACACACATCGACAATTTGCAATTTAAAAACATCAAAAACATGATTTCCTTTCGAATTGCACAAATGTGCTTCATTTTTTTCTTCATCATATAGTAAAAGAAAAATACTTCTTCGAGAAATCAAGGAACTGAGGAATCGGCCGAACATTATTCAGCACATACTTTAAAATTTCAAATGAATTATTATATAATTGTTCACTGTACTTTTAACAGCTGATTAAAAAGAGCATGATTTTTAGTTGCGGACATTTTTATGATATTGCTCCTTAGAACTGTCAACACTGATAATTTTTTTCTTTTTCTTTAACTCTTTTTTACACAACTCCCAATTTAACAGATAGAATGCTCAGTACTAACAAATTCTTTAAATTGTGGTGCAAGAGTAACTGAATGTAAAGGGAACTGACTTAGTAAGACATAAATAATGTAATGGGACACTTTTTTTTTAACTACATCTTCAAAAATTAAATGTTTCATAAGAGGATAAAAAGAAATTATACAAGACAAAATTAGAAACACTATAAGCATATAAAAATGCTTAAAATAAAGAATAATTTTAAATTTCAAAATTAATTAAAATTGTTGACTAGTGAAATTGAAAAAAAAAATCCATTATATCAAAAAGTGTACAAAATTTAAAGTGTACAAAATTATAATAAATTAGAATTAAAATATATCTCAATCTATTAATTTAAAAACATTCCATACAAATTTTTATTTTTATTTCATTTTAATTATTTTTGTCAATCTTAGCATTTAATAAAAGTTTGAAATATTCCAAATTTTAGAATGTCAATGATCTTAATCCTAAAAAATATGGAAGGTTTCAAAATTTAGCACCATGCGATTTACAGTGTCTCAGCTCTACTAAGCAGAGATATTCATAGATGCCAACTTGCTCCGGATAGCAAATAAATATTTTAGACTGGTAGCTTATTAATTGTGATTCTTGGTTTAATAAATTCAATTTAGTAGGTTTTTATCCACCACTATTTTTAAATAATTCGACGGCTTATATAATTTGCCACTTTATTATTATTAAGTCATGCTAAACCTTTTAAAAAGTAAGCAAAATTAGTCAAAAATTTGCACATTTTAGTTTGTAGTTATTTACCATTTTTTAAATTACTTTGGCGTGTCCGGAGCCGTTGGCATCTCTGGATATTATAAATATTTAAATTAAATTTCAGAATAACTATATAATTGTTTTTAAGCATGACATAAGCTTGGTGACAGACTTTAATAATTAGATAATTGAAATACAGTACAGAACCCGTTATCCGGAAATCAAAAAACAGGAAAACCAAAAAAACGGAACGAAATTCGATAAATTTTCCCGCCATATTTTTTAAAAAAAAAAAAATTTCTTCATAACATTTTAGGATTTTTCTTTCTTTTTTGAAAGATGTTTACCTTACCATCATTTTGGAAATAATCATTAGTGTATTACTTCATCGTTTTTTCTTCTTTTTAAGATTATTTCCAAAAATTTTTTTATTTTTTTTAGTTGGGTTTAACAATAAAAAAACGGCTTTTTGTAGCGATTCAGAAAACCGGAAAAATCAGTTATCCAAAATAGCGATGGTCCCGATCGTTCCGGATAATCGGTTCCCTACTGTATCTATTTATAACTATTATCAAGAGATTATTTATACGAATTTGATAGTGTTACATACAAAAACAATTTGCCAGATTTAACCAGTTTTATATTTTGTTACACAACTCTTTCAGCAATATAGACTATTTGCATAAAAAAGTTAATTACTTTGATACTTATTTAGTTACAAATATTAATGGTGGATAAAATTAAAACTATTAAAAAATAAAATAAAAAAGTTACCCTTAATGTTTCATTCCTAGTTTCTAGACCTTGAACAATAGGGGCAAATCTTTCCCTTTCTTCCATTTCTCCGCAGATGGTTATAGCTTCAAGTGCTTTTTCATGTCTTTAAATAGAATGTATTATTTTAGTAAAAATATCAATACATAATATTACCATTTTAAATTAAAAAGACAGCAATGTAAACAATAATAAACTTGCTAAAACAAAAAATTAAAAACTTATGACAAATCACCAGTGATGAAAAGTCTGGACAGATTTGGAATTCTAGGAAAATTTATGATTGAGATAAAGATTTAAGTTTTCCCCTAATATTACTATTTGTAAGATTAGCCATTTTATTACCATGAGTCTTATATATTCTATCAGGTGATGGAAAAAAAAATATTAAAAATAGTGGGAACAAATTAAATAAATAATGAGTAGCTATATTTTGATAATTATCACCGATTTTAAATATTTATTTGATTAAATATTGATTTACTTTTTTATCACACTGTACTGTTTATGTATTCAATATTATTCTAAAAATTGAAAGAATTTGAAAAAGAACAGGCTATACAGAAATAAGAGCAAAGCCATCCTGCAAAACCCCTGATGATCTTAGTGCCTTAACCAATGTATCATTGCAGCTCATAAAAAATAAACCTGCAATGATAAGTTCACCCATAAAAATTATAACTATGGCATAAACAAAACTAAAATATTAACTCAGATGTATCTTTATATTTTTCACTGCCCATGTTACTTAAAATTAGCTTTTTGCAGTAGTTACCCACGGCATTAACAAAGTTTATAGTACAAAATGTAACAACATGAAATTGAATTTCAGCTAGGAATTATCACTATCAGAATATAGGTAAAACAGGAGAACACTTATCATTAATTTCATTAATTAAAAGAAATATGTGTTCTCAGAAAAGCACTACTGTGATTCAGTATCATGAAGAAATGAGAATACATTGAACAATATTTACTGTTTTATGTTTGTAGTATTTTATATGGTTAGGTTTATTAGGATAAAACAATATTCATTACATTGATAATAAATTAATCATTTTTAAAAGAATACACAATGAGTATATTAATTTAATACACAATGAGTATATTAATTTAATACACAATGAGTACAGACAAAAACAAACTTTACTGATTTTTAAATAATACTATTTTAAATTATACTGTTAAAATAAATTGGTAAAGAGGTTGAATAAAGAGGTTGAATTACTAGATGCAAGTTTTTTAAGATTTATCACAGATTTAGTGACAAAATTTCGAGTATATATTCATATATAATCTTAATACTTTATTACGAAAAGTGTTTCCAAATAAACAATTTCCAAAAATTTATATATTGTGATGAACTTCAAATACAAAATAAATTACATGAAATTTTGAATATGAGTTCTTCTGGCAGAAACTTCTGCATTTTGTACTGCCAAAAATAAGCTTATACTTATAAATACCTAAAAACTAACAATATTAATGAATTTATTATTCCATCTGTTTGCTATACATTTGATAGATTTTTCAGCATATTTAACCAAGTTTAGCTATAAAAAAAAATTGCCTTTCATTAAATGTTAAATTCTTAAAGTAAGAATACTTAGAAGATATTCAGTTTTTAATAATCTTTATTAGCTTTCAATCTTCATTAGATTATCAGCTTTTAACAATCTATTAATAATGTTTGGTCTGCAAGATGGTTTCAGTAACGTTTACCCAAATGCCAAAATTATTTTAATTGAACATGGCACATAAATCAAGCAATCCAGAAATGTGAGGTTGAAGTCACAAATGGAAATGAAAGTGCAGCTTTTGCAATCAGCAAAAACTGGAGCACCAACAGATAGAAAGCAACAGCATAATGTTTACTGGTATCTTACATTAAGGACTTTTCTTTTTATGTTTAGCACTTATTAAAAAAAATAAAAGACAATTTAACTAAAATATATTTACATTTTTTGGAAACCTAAAACAAGCTGTAAAGGCACAAAAAACATTTAATTAGTGAAGATGAACAATGAGATATGAACATCAATTTGGTTTAGATGTCACACTAAACAATCAATAGTTATACATACCCATTCGGGGGAATCAAACACAAAGCTGCCATGAGTTTAACAGCATCAGTCATAATAACTGGCACAGATGGGTCTATTGAGCGAGATAAGATAGTGAGAGCATCAGAATGTTGGAAGATTTGTTTCAAGCCAGCCTAGAGTGATGAAACAAGATAGTAAGATATAAATCACTAATACAAAAATGAATTTAAAGTTACAAAGGCAAATATAGTATAAAAAAATTACTTCAATAGACTTTCATTAAAAGATATACATACATTAATCAATTTAAGAAATTTATAAAAGTCTTTTTTTAAGTTTGTTTCATGCATTAATATTTGCACGATCCCTGTGGCAGAATTTTTTGGGGCTTTCTGCGACATACCTCTCTAATACTAATATCTTTCTGCAAGATACTTTTAAAAATAACAAATATACATGTTACTGAATTAAAGTAACAAAAGCATAAACTTCAAAAAAAAAAAATTTCAAATAAACTTTTTGGATCAAACAAAAAAAATTTTTAATTAAATATGTAATACTTTTTATTCTAATATTATGGGCTACATTCTCACATTTTGTAGGGGGAAAACACACTAATTAATCACACACTTTTTCGCAAAATCATTATCTAATTAAAAAGTTTTTTTAAAAAATCGTGAAATCCGTAGCAGTAAATCGGACTCTTCGAAAAAGGGTTACTAAATGCACGTTTTCATTTCAAGATTCAGTTGTTGTAATAAATAATATCATATTAAAAGGAAATGGAAATTAAAAGTAATAACCGCATTAAAAAAAATTAGAAAAAAATTTTATGCAGAAAAGAAAACCAAAATTTTTACTTCATTAATCTTTATTTATCATTGCTCTCAAATGAGAATAGAAAAAGCATTTTTTTCACTCGGATGCGCAAAAAAGGCATCTTTTGAATATAATTCTGACGAAAAAATGAAATCTTTCGCAAATTTCTGTGGAAAAAAAAATTTACATCACATAACAAAAATCTTTCTGTAAGAGCTCTGTAACATTTTGCGACAATGTCGCCGTGTCGCCACGATTCTGCCACTGGGTGGACGATAATGTAATAAAATAATATCTAAATTATATTTAATAAATTTACTTCAATAAATAATTAGAAAAAAACTACAAAATTAAAACATGTAGCACTCCAAGTAATCCAAAAAAAATTTCCTCTGTAGATACATTTGTAAATATATCTAGAAAGAAAAATTACTCGACAAAAAGCTAACAGATTAAATGTAAAATAATGCTAAATTAAGCAATTGAAGTAGAAACAAAATATTAGATTAAAGCTTACTATTGAATTTTTTATAACATTAAAACAATTAAAAGAAATAAAACAGTTATCAACTCACAGTATTGTTCATTAATGCTCGCAGGCATTTGATACATTCATGCTGAATACGCTCATATTTTACACTCCTAAAATCAAATTAAAGAGATTAATAAAAAATAAGTCTTCTTATAAATGGCTAACAAAAAAAAATATAAATACAAAACAAACAAAAAAACTTAAAATGCGAACAAGTTATAAAGAACTTCAATATAATAAAAATGTTAAGTTTAAATACAAATAGAAAGAAATGTTGTGAATATTTTTGCCACAGCAATGCTATAGCCTTTTGTTATGGCTGGTACAATAGGTAAATCAGAATAACAAGTTAAATAAACAAGTCAGACTGTAACAAATGAAAAATTGTCTTAAACAAAAATTTTACTTTATGAAAGTACATACATCTTTTCATCTTTCTAATTAAATAAATAAAAATACAGATAAATTTGTTTTAATTCTGGATACAATACTATACAGTTTTGTAATTCCTCATAAAAATTTCTTGTACAGATCCTATGCTAACTGACTTTTCAGCAGACAAAAAATAAAAATGAGGAAAATGTATTAATACTAATGAGATTTATAGAATACATAAACAATTTAATGCCAAGTAATAAATAATTTCTTTATCTCATTAGAAGCAATATATATATTTATTATTTTCAGTAATAATGATACTGTCATTGGAAACACAAACAAATTATAGCTGCTTATTCTTCAAATTCATTAAATACAAATTATTTTTATTGAACAATGATCGCATTACTAAAAGTTAAGTAAAATAAAATTTGAACAATAATTAACTATAAATAAATATAATTTCCAAAAATGTTTAACTAGTGAACATTTGCTAATTTGAAGCAACTTTTATTGAAAGTACAAAATAAAATATCAAAACCAAATATGATAAAATCCTTAATATTTCAATTTAACACATCCATTTAAAAATTTGCTATGCAAATAAATATAATTGACTTACTTTCCATAACAAGAATTCAAAATTTGTAATAACTTATCGAGTCCACGGCTTCCAAATTCTTGTACCCAACTGTAAAAAGAGAGACAATTAAATATGATTATAAATTATATAACATAAAAAGGCAATAATAAAAACTTTCTGCTTTGGATAAAAGTATAATATTAACAAAACTTCGAAATATGAAAACAAAATTGCATTGAAAATGTGTGCATTGAGTAAACATTTCGTAAAAAGTCTGAGCGTGTTGGCTTTAAAAACAATCTTAAAAAAATGCATTCATGTTTTTATAAATGGAGAGTTAATTGTTTTATCATTTTTGAAGTCATTGTCTTCATAAAAAACAATGATAGTCCAAATTACTGATCAGGAAATTAAAAGACAAAATTCTTTCATTTCTTTAAAAATTTAATTTGTGATATTTTAAATCTTTGCATTCAAATACTTAATAACCCTACTTTTTCCAAACTGACCGAACTATGGATTGGAATATCTTGTAACATCAAAAGATGTAGTAGCTAGAATGCATAGACAATATAAAATTGTTTAATATTTTATATTTATAATATTTATGTATAATATTTTATATACATAATATTCATGCAAAATATTTTATTTGCATATTTTATACTTTTCATTCTTATATTTTCCCGTAAATATCAAACTTAGTAAGTAATAAAAGAAATCCATAGAAAAACATTTCTAGATAAGTGAGTTTAGTTTTGACATTTAGTGTCAAGAAAAATTGTGTTTATTTTCACACAAAATTTCTGTGGTACACCAGTTTCATTTAAATAAAAGATTGATCATTAATAAGTGAAATTTTTACATTACCTTACTGTATTGTTGGTCAAAGCTATTCGAAGAGATTCTAAGCACTGGAATAATTTATGAACACTCATGTCTGAATTACTTAGGTATGAAATATAGTCTGCAGGACTGTCTAATCTACCTTTCTGTTGGAAAAAAATGAAAAAGAAAAAAATTAATGCTCTTGATTACAAATTAAAGAAGACAAAAATGATAATTAAAATATGGCATTTTTAACATTCCAAAAAAGCCAACTATCTTATCGTTAAAACACAATGATGGGTGGCGCGATGAGGGAACAGCACAAAATGTCTCAAATATAAAATAAAAATATGATAAAATATAAAAGTTTAAAATCTTACTAAATCAATGCCCTCGAGTGTGTTTTTAAAGAATAGAAATGTTAACATTTCCCCTTAATAGTGATTTGTCCAGCAGGTGGCGCAGCACCACAACTACTGTGTCTGTTTACAAATGTAAGAGAGAGATTTTTAATATGAAACGATTAGGAAGCAGCAATGTACTCGGCTGCTGAAGTAGTTTGTTTTCTCTTACTTCTTAATTAAATTTATTGTTGAAATTATTCTTAACTTGACTCATCGCCACATCGAAGAGCAAACAGCGATAGAAAGTAAAAGAAGACAACAGAACCCAGAACACCTGAGTTCCAACCTTTGAAAACAACTGGTTACAGTATGAAATTAGTAGCTATTCAGAATCCATAATTTGAAAATTATTATGAGTTGTCAAAATCTTAAATGCCATTTTTATGATTAGTTGCACCTGCAGTCATATTTTATCACAAATTACAAAATTTGAAATGCAGGTTGGAGTTAACTAATATAAAACTTAAACAAAGATTTTAACAGTAAATCCTGAGGTGTCTAAAGTAACATAAAACCTACGCTATCAGATTAAAATATGAACAAAATATCATTTTATATCTTCCACCAACCATCCCAGGTTCCAATATTTTCCTATAAAAGCATATCAATAATATAAATATATTGCTTGATATTATGTTTTGTAAACTGAAAAGCTAAAAGCGTCAACTATGCCATAAATGTTTCCATAATATATTTGCACTTTTGAAATATATTTACCAATAATTTTTTATTATATCTACTGCACTAAAGCGATTAAATCTTGCAATAATATATTGAATTACTAAACATAATATAATTGAAAATAGCATACTGAAGGAAAAAGTCAAATTGAATATGGTGAAATTGAGTTACATATTTATTCATAGCATTGAAAATGATAAAAATTATAAATTCTATTGATATATACAAGGTGTGACATTAAAATATCAAGAATGGTCAGAAAAATATGCAACAGTGAAAGCTATTAAAATCACTAGTTCATTTCCACATGACCAGTTAATCTATAACAAATTTCTTGTCGATCTCTAAACTATGTCTTAAAACTATTGCTTATGTGCGCTCTTTCATCCAAGCAAAACTAAGATGCAAGCCATCAAGCATTACTCTTTTCAGAAAATCTAGTTTTTAACCATGACCTTTCATAAAGACTGCTGAAAACATATCAACTTGAATATACTTTTTACTTCAAAGAACAAGTCCAAGTCCAATTGTTTAAGATCTGAAAAATAAATTAAATGTTGGAAGAGAGACACTTCATGTAAATTGCACCCTAATATCAAACCAATTTTTTTTTTTTAAATTCTTTTTCTTCATGTGTGTGTATGCATTTCTTTTAAACCCAAGTAGAAAACAGAAAAATTGTTGTACAAAATGCTACTGAATATTTCTTTATCAGTGTTGGTTATGCTGGCAATCTGCCAGAAAAATTAGATTTTATGCATCAATACATAAATTTTTTGAGCATTTTTATCAATTCTAGATGATATACATTGACAAGAAAATTCATTGTTTGTCAATTCCTTTCTGCCATATTAAAAATGACTTCCACAAGTAAAATAAAGTAACATACATCGATGGCTCTACACCTTCTTCAGCAATTTAAATTATTCAGCAGAAAATTATTTTAACAATGCTGAAAGTTAAAGAGAATTTAGTTTTGTTGATGATGATCAACCTGTAGTGTATCTACCACTACAAAAATACAATTCCAGTTCCCAACTCGATTCTATGTTGGGGTACCTCTTCATAGATGAAGGTTGACAGTGTCGAAAACAACTAGTCCCACATGATGGCAACTTCTAACCTCGCATTGGTGACCTTCGGACGTGATGTGAACACGCCTACCTTGGTAGAAGAGCCCACTTAGATTTGAACACGCCTACTTCGGTGGATGGTCCACACTGAACAGTTGGCTTGCTACTTGTGACTGCGACATTGTCCTCCTCACGCTATTGCTACTCAGTCTCGATCAAACACAGCGTCGGCCTGTATACACTCGACTGCTAAGGGCAACACAGTAGCAAACACAACTGAGGATTTAATACAGCTCTCACAATCAGCACTCAAAAGTACGGTGATCTTAAGGCAGCTCTCCCGGTTTCTCACAAAACAGCAATGAATCAACTAGTGGTATCCGTTCATCAAATTCTATCACAGATATAATTCTGGTGGGGTAGTACTGTAGTGTATCTACCACTACAAAAATACAATTCCAGTTCACTAATATATAAGAAATGTTAACTCGATTCTATGTTGGGGTACCTTTTCATAGATGAAGGTTGACATTGTCATTAACTACTATCCCCACAAACTTGAACTATATGATCAAGTTTAAATATGATGATTAAGCTAAAAAATACTAGCAATAATAAAAAGGCAAGTTTGTTTTCTCACTATTTCTAATACAAAAAAAAAACATAATAGTAATGAAAATTACAACTTCTATAATTCTTAAATAAAGCAAAGGAAACTTCTGTTCCCAAATAGGCTTAAATGCTATAGTGCGTCAAATATCACAAAAACTGTAGAGTGGAAGTAAAAAAAATATGTTATGATGCCTTCCCTGAGACACCTAATTCTTCAGCACAAAAAAAAATTATACACTAGCAATTATACATATGCAAAATTATAACAGAACATTAAATAAATGTATAGATAAAAAAATAAAAAAAACTATTTTTCTTCTTTATTAAAAGCTGAAGGAGAAATAAGAATAATTCTGAGTATCAAATAATATTGTTGCTTATCCTTGATGCAAGTGTTTGATCAGTCTAAATCAAAGTCCTGATAGTTCAAATATAACTTTTTTGAAAAATTAAACTTCTTTGTTTTGTCTTCAATAGATGTAACAACTATTAAGATGTTTATTGATAGATGGATTAAGAGATAGAGAATTTCTATGTTAAATAGGAACCTGCTTGTAATATAAGGAGTTATGTGTCCTAATGACTCAGTTTCGAAAGTCTATCAGACTCACTGGAATATACTTTTTTTTTCCTTAAATAAAATGAGTCATGCAGTACAGTTTTGTTATATTACTTAAACTAGTATATGAATGAAAGTCACAAGGAACAAACTGACTGACAAAAAGGAGAAGGAAAAAAAAAAGAGTGCCTGTAACAAATAGACTTTAGTTAACAATAATATTCTGATGAAAAAGGTTGTACTATATATCTATTTTTTAAAAGAGAATCACATTCTAAATTAGTACTGAAAAAAAAAAACTTAAAATACAAACCACAGCATTCCCCTTAATGGCCATGCTCAACATTGTTTTCTTTTTAGCTATGTCATGTTTCCTCAATGGTTCTTTTTTCTCTTCAGGCAAATTCATGTCATCCTGCACAAAGTAAACAAAAGGCATATTTTAAACATTTAGAAACAAATTTAATACAAGTAACAAGTTAAATAAAAATAAAACATCAGAGCTATTCCATCATTTAAAAATTTGATATTTGTAGACCTTAAATTTTATTTTAAAAAAATGAAAACAATTTTTCAAGTTATTTTGTTCAAATAACTTTAGGAGTCATTTACACACTTACTCAAAATTTGAGTAACTTTGGAAATTTTAATTATTTTTAAAAACTGAAAACTGGCTATTATGGGTGTAACATATTGTATTATGTCAATTAATGAAAAAAATGTCTGTAGTTTTAATTTTAACAGAAAATATGCTGTAAATGTTAAAAATTAAAAAATCTAAATTTTTAAAACAATTAATTTTTTTATAGATATAAAAGAAATATAGAGGAAATAATGATAGAGGAAATAATTTTAACAAGTTTGTGCCCATTTTATGCCAACGTGAAAGTAGAAACTTCCACTGGCACAAGATAATCAGCAAATTTGTAAAAAAGACCAACCGTGTGACCTATGTCAAAATTTTAGTCAATAACTTATCATTGACAAATACAGTAATACAACATAAATTATTTTGTTAAAATCTATCAGTAAAATCTATCTCAAAATACACTAAAAAAAAAAAGAATAAAAAATTCAAATTCCATTTAAATGAATTTAGGATTTTTTTTTTTCAAACTTTTAAGCAGAATACTAGAGCTTTTAAAAATAGAAAAAAATTACATGCAAGCCGAAGGTGATAAAGTCTCTTATTTTTACTGGTTAAAATAAAAGTTCCATTAAAAAAAATTTTAATGCATTAAGTATCTACTTTTTAAACAACAATTTTGAAAGATACATTATTGACATTATAAAATATATAACTATTACGTATATCAAATCACAAATAATTATGAGCAACAATCACAGATAAATATAAAAATTTAATTCAATAAAGAACTAACTTACCAGCATTATTTCAAACTGCCTATTAATTTCTTCTGCTGTTAAATTTTCTAAATTGTTTTCAGCTTCATTTACTTGATCAGTAAAATCATCAGAATGAGGTCTTTGAGTATGTGCCCATTTTGCTTTATCTTTCTTTGACTTGCCTAAACCACCAAATTTCTCCAGCTTTAAGAAGAAAAAAAAAATATTAATTTTCTCTTTTTTCAAAAATATATAAAAGCAAAAGTTATAACACTAAAAAATAAAATAAAAACTTTCATAAGAAAGAGCTAAACTTTTCATTTAGGTAAAAAATTACTAAATTAGGTTAAGCAATATAATTTATTACACTTGTTTACTTAAAATACATATATGCATGATTCAGGCTAGTATGGCGAAATTTAACGCTAATGATTCTACAGATATTGCTAAAATCACCTACGTAAGCGACAAATTCATTGCCTTGAAATATTAGGGGTCTGTCTAGGCTTTTCTGAAAGGTACCTATTTCGTGAAAATTTAGACATAATTTGGAAAATTAAAAAATATATTAAAAAATCAATACAAAAATATGGTGAAAATATGGATTTATCGTTTCTTAAGGGATACAAATATAAAATTTTAAGAAAAAGTATTTTGTGAAATTTCCTAAAGTTGAATTTGTGAAGGTACCACTAAATGATAGTAAATTTGGCCTAGACAGACCCCTGAATATGCTCAGAATTTTCAAAGTAGCATGGGGAAAAAAATTTCTATTTGCATTGAATTTCGCACATTAGAAAGAAAAATAATGAGTACTAATTTTGTTGTTCGGCTCGTGTTAAAGAATTCAAATGTGTGGTATTCAAATGGAATTACTGATACGAAAATTTTTAAATTGAAATTTCAAATTTACATGTGCTGTGCGCTGCATTCATGTACTGGCAGTTATAATTATTAATCAATAAAACTTTTTCCTTTAGAATTGACTTAATTTAAAATTTTATAATTTTTAGATAATTAACTGTTAATATAATATTTCGTTAGCTTTTTCTTTTTCTGTTTTCCTAATTTATTTATTTATTTGGTCTCAGCATTTTAATATCTATGTCGAATCTATTTTCTAATAACATTTTAACTTTTTTCATCACTTAATTTTAATAAATAATAATCTTGAATCCTTATGGGGTAATTAACCTAATTAGTTTTAAGATGTTAAAGATGATAATTAATAATTGTTGATATGTACCATAACATGAATTATGCAATTATAAAGTTTGATTTTATTTCTCTAGCTGGTCTACCATATTAAGTTTTTGGACCACTAAATTCTAAATGAATACCTAGAATAGATAATTTAGTGGTTCGATTGTACCACTAAATTATCATTGCTAGTGTAAACCCTACATATATGTATGCAACATAAAAAGCTTCTTTTAATCTTTTTATGTTATCCTAATTAATTATTCTAATCGAAATTCTTTCTCACTTTTAAAAGCCACATCCTGTTCTTAAATCTATTTTTGGCTGAAGTATGCATTTAATTAAAAGCAGGATATTTTTCCCTTTGCACTCTGTGGGAATCATTCGACCTATTTGATAAACCAATAGTAACTACTAAGATTTCCCTCTTTCCCTAAAGTGAAACATTTTACTGATTTATTTTGCAAGATTTTCCCTAACATATAACCGAGGAGCGCAACTTTTCAAGTTCACTTTTTACACACTCTCATGACTGCTCTGTCTAATAATTAATAAATAAATTTTGCACCCTCCTTCCTGGCCTAAGACCTGTTTTAATCCTTCCACTTGGCAACGACGTTATACGCATATAGTATACATACATATGAATCCTCTGACCAAAGCAGCAGAACACTAAAAGCTTTCTGCACACAGATATTAGACTAAATACTTTCAGTACTATGGTATCACAGTGCAACGTTGTTGATGAACAAACATTTCAGAACTTAATATTTATGTAGCACTAAAGTGTTATTTATTACATTAACACAATTACAGTTAATTTCCCAAAAATAAATAGCAATAAGAAAATTGTGAAAGTTACAAATCTATGAAAGGAAAAGATGATTTATCATTAATCAGTTTGTCAACAGATTTAGAACCAGTCTCCTCATAAAAATTGCAATCTTTAAACCCAAAATGTGAATCACTCTCATTTTCGGAAAAAAAAAGAAAAAAAAACTAAATAATGGAGTCAATAATGTTTGTCAACACCATATTATCACATTTAAAACTAAACTCAGTGGTGCGACAGCCCAGAGGGCAAAGGCCTACTGTGGCCATCTCAGTTTTCTTGACCTTGGGTTCTGGGGTGCAAGAGCAGATGTTCCGGTTAGGTGGTCAGCCGAATGCGGAACCCCCAGTGTTTAGTTCCCAAGCATGCTTGGTACTCATTTATCGACCCACTGAAGGGATGAAAGGCTGAGCCATCGTTGCCCAGTTCGAGGATAGAATCCAGGACCTGCAGCATGGGCAAATTTAACACTGTTTTTAATTCATTTCTATTCATGAAGATACTATTTACACATTTTAATGATTATCCTACATTATGTTTTAGGAAGGAAAATTAAAATTTCTTACCAAATTCACACTTTTTTTATCCTTTGCTGACATGATTATCTGTAAAAACATTTGAAAAGTATTAATTATCAGCAAAAAGTTTAATAAGTAATAAATAATAATCAAAGTTAAATAATTTGATCCAAAAAAAATAAAAGAAATAATCAAACTTTATGAGAAAAAAATCATAAATTCAAGTCTGTTTGACTTTTTCAACCAGCCTTTTGTTTCAAAATACCATTGGTCAGTTTTCTTAAGAAAAGAAATATAACTCAAATACAAGAACTAATAAATAAAAAAAAACAAAATACATTAAGAATAAATAACTTTTAAATATAAGTAATAATTTTATTTATAAAAATGCAGTTTAAATGCTATTTTTTGGACCTGTGAGTCTTATCAAATAAAGTTTGTTCTAGAATTCATGCTCTGGTGTGATCTTTGTTGTTGAAATACTAGAGCTTATTCTAGAAGCCTCTATGTCACTGTACTTAATATGGGACATAGATACTTAGTTGAGAGAATAATGGAAGGCACCTTAGCATAAATACATTTTTCAAGTTAAAAATATACTTTGAAAATTGATGTCTTCCATATGAATTAAAATGAAATATTTATTTTTTCACTTAAACATTTGTTAATTTTCCATAATTCATAACAGAAAGGATAAATCCTACAAAGGTAACTGAACCCTATTATTGCCATTGAAAATATTATTGCTAATTTATCAATACAAATGACATTGATAACAAAATTTAACAATAATTATAGTTATATATGACCGGGATGGGCAAGTTTTGACGATTGACAGTTTTATCCTGTTTTAAGATGTGTCAACTAACAAATATCTACACATTGACATACGTTTTTTTATTAAGGAAAACTTTCTCAAAGTGACATTTTTCGACAAAAAATTTTTTGGGAATTTTTTAAACCAAAAACTTTCCCAGGATTGCCAGAATTTCACTCAAAACATTCTTGGCACAATTGGACATATACTGCTCCCCTGGATATAAGTAATAACAATAAATATTAAGAAAGAAAAAAAAGAAATTTTTAAGACAATTATTGGCAAATATAATTTTACAAAACCTGAAAAATCTTTCGAAATTATGACAAAAAAATTTTTTTATCAATATTTAGATTGATAATAATGAACAACTCATAGTTATTACCAGTAATATAAACTGAATTTCTAATATAGCAAATAATATTGATCTTAAAATATTAAGAGTGTCATGTTTTTATTAAAACTGTTTAATAGTTTTTATAATTATTAAAATTTAAACAAAATAAAATTAATAAATAAAGTTTTATATTTAACCATTTAATAATTTTGGCTGTATTTTTCATACTTTATATATAATAATAAATCATAATTATGGCTGCATGTATAATGCAATTATTATGTAGGATTTACTATCAGATAAAATCTCCCCAAAGACAAAAATTTTTTTTGATTGTTTTTGGTATGTCATGCGAAAAACTAGTTTTTGAGATCAAAAACTAAACCTGTTCATAACTTAATCTTTAATCAAATTAATAGTATTTACTAATGCAGTGAAGCTTACTCTAAGACTGTAAAGAACATTAAAATGATGAAAAACTGAATTTATTTTGAAAAAAAACCAATTAAAAACTTTAAAAAAAAAATCCCTAAAAAGAAACACAAACCCTGAAAAAACTCAGTCGGTTTTTTTCCTGAAAACGAAACAAGCTTTTTACAACCCTGAAACTTTCATAAATTTTTAAAAAAATATGTAGAGGTATGGCCAACGGTAGTTACAACTACTACAATTCTAGTTGCGCTCCTTCTATGATGTTTCTTTTTAGTTTCTTGCAAGCCAACGCAAAGAAGTAGTCAAAACTATTATTTTGACATAGGTACCGATAAGGAAATCTTTCGTATTCCTTCATATTTTTTTTCCTGAAACTTAGACAGCATTGTCATTGCATATTGCTGAATAGGTCATCACATAATTTAAAATCAGTTGCTCAACTTTTACAATAAAATAGAGCAACTAACAAAAAAAAATTTTAAAAAGTTATATCAAGATAGTTAATAGTGAAACTCTGTACACTGCCTTGGTACTAAAGTAGGGAAATCGCTGAGATATGATCTCAGAAAGAAAATAATCCTTCTTCATTAGGAGCAGTTTTAAAATTAACAAATGTGGCCAAATTTACGAGTTTGCTTTTACAGAGATGAAGACAGTTCTTTTTTAAAACTTAAATTTTTGTCAATTTTGTAACACTTTCAATGATCTGACTGAGAAGCAATCAGACATATATAAAAATAAATAAATAAAAAACCTAGTCCTAAACACCAAGATATTCAAATTACCAGTGAATGCATAGTTGCTAACAGACATTTGAGAGCATGGAAAGAGATCCAAAATTTGGTAAATTATCAATAGATAATATAATCAAAAATAAAGCCAACCCTGCATATTTAAAATAAATTTTAAACAATCTTGCTACAACTTATTTAAAAAAAAGGATAAGATTTAATATAACCCTGTAGCCAAAACAACTTTGTGGTTTGAGAAATAACGTAGCTTAAAGCTGAAATAGATTTATAAATAAAATTCGATTTGCCATGACACTGAATTATAGAGTTATACACCATTATTAAATTAAAAAGTTAGCCGTTACACTAAGAAAAGAATAAATTTATATTTACTTTCTATAAAATTTGATAAACATTAAGTAATTGATTTTATTATAACAGTAAGAAAAATGAGTAATAAAATTAAATTTATGAAAGCTAGGAAATTATGTAATGTTTATAATGGCATAACAGCTCTTTACGTTGAACAATGACAATATGAAATCTGATATACACTCTAAGGGTTGAGGAGGCTTTTATATCAGCACCTGTTCATCTCAACCAAAATTGTACTTATTAAAGGATTTGTCATTACTTTAAAATTTGATTAAATCAATTTGTGCTCTTGTGAAAAGGTATGAAATTTTCTAGAGATAAATATCTTTTAGATGACACTGATAGCATATAATTACAAACAGTTCTAAATACATAAATCGTCCAGTTTGACCTTTAAATAAACATATAACTCAATATTTTCATTAATAAAAAATATCAATTAACACTGGCCAGGTAAAATAAAAACTTAGAATTCCGGCAGATAGAATATTTCAAAACAAAATTTAACTTACTTCATATAAAAGGTAATGAAAAATGATAAGGAAGGTTGACCAGGGTCAGAAAAGTTTTGTAAACAATGCTAAAAATATAAAATGTTTAAAGACTGATTGATTTATATGATTAAACATTTATTTTCACACAGGCATCACAATACGATGAATAAGCATAAAGTTTATTTTCTTCAAAACCGGTCCTCCCATTTTTGGATTAAATCTAAAGTAAATCACATTTATCTGTCAGGGACACAGCAAATTTTGTAATTTCATTGGAAAAGTTTAACACAAAAGAATAGATTTGAAGAATATTTCGCATGTCCTAAGGAAATAATTGCAGAAGCTTTTAAAATTCCTCAAATAAAAACAAATTAAGAGTTTAGAGAGTCCGCCAATTAGTAAATTAAAAATATAAATAACCACAACAAATACCACACACGATTCCTGTTTCCGTATTCAAACGAGTTGCCATCAACAACTTAGGATACTAAAAGTGACTCATGGCTAAAAAAAGATATTTAAATTTTAAAATTTGGGTTTCCGTTTAGAAACCTAAAAATCTTTTCTTAATTGAATTACAACATAATTAACCATATCATTAATTGAAAACTGATGCAAAAATAATTAAATAAGCCAACTTTTCCTTACGTAAATCACTGGTCGATACTTAGTACTAAATTTGGTGGTCTGAAAGTGAACTTGAGCTGAAATTTGTTTCTTGTCATAAATCGTTATCACAAATGTCTTTGGATTATAATTTAAGCAAATTTAATCGATACAATTCTTTAAATTATATGTCTTTGTTCAGAAATTTTTTTGATTGCTTATTTCTGTCTTTGTTTATAACTCAAGCAAAAAATATTAATGAATGATCATCTATTTAAATTCATCAAAGTTAGAAACAAGAAAGAGATAAAAATAATCAATTGTTTTATGAAATTTAGAGAGTAAGGAAACTCTGAAACGTGAAAAATGTCCAACCGTTTAATTATAATTAGAAGCGCTAAAGCTGAGGCGTCTATAACGCATTCTGAAATCAGTGATGGTTTTCTATTAAACAAAATTTAAAATTTGAGATCTCAGAAAAAGGAGAAGCAGGTGACTACCACTACCACTATAAATATTGAATACCAATTCACTAGTATATAAGGCATGCTGAAAAAATGAAGGAAAAATATAATGAGCAAAATTGATAAAAATAAATAAACAGCATGAATCAACTGGTGGTATCCATTCATCGAATTCTATCACAGATAAAATTCTGGAAGGGGAGTAATGTGGCGTAACTACCACTATAAATATTGAATACCAATTCACTNCCCCACACACACACACAACCAATGTAGAACCACAGGAGCGATGTGCGTGGAAGTCCGGGACAAACTTCTCAATTACACATCTCGCCTGTAAAAAAATGAATGTAATCGTGGGGAGGGGGTAAATTTAATTCAAAAAAACATTTGAACTGTGCTTATTTTAATAAGTCTATTTAAAATTTAAGTACTTTTAAATAAATGACATAAAACTTCTTAATTTAATTTGTTTTAAAATCATATTATTTTTCTTAAAATATTTTACTGTAGACAAATAAAATCTGTCCGTTGTCTCTTTACCCCCCTCCCTCGATTTGCATGACATGGTGAGAGAACTCAAAGTAAGCCTTCCCATTTTGCTTTTCAACCGCCATTTTAGATGCTTTTTCGACATTTTTGTTGCTTTATTCTCTTTTTGCTAAAAACCGTTCGCATCAAGTGGAGTGTGTGAGAGATGTTTGTTGGCTGCCAGCAAGATTCAAACCTGTGACATGTTGGATCGTAGTAGGATGCTCTAACCACGAAAGAATAGAGTGTACACCCCAGTCTGGGGTGAGTTAGGAAGCTATATGGCAGATAGTGGCTGCCTCAAATTTCTAAATATGATATTCTAGAAAAGAGGGAAAATATGTGCACTAGACGTGAGCCTGAGTCTTCTTAATGTAGCTCTAAACATTATAGGAGGGCAGTATAACGCAATTTGAATGACCCGATCCACAAAAGAGTTCCAAGGGCTTCAGGAGGAGGAGGTTAATTAAAATTATTACGATTCATTTTGGAAGAAAAATTTTTTTTTTTAAAAGAACATTCGGTTCACCTTGATTTGGAAGTTTAAAAAACAAAGCAAAAGTTTTACAACAACATTTTATTTATTTATTTGATATCGTTGAAGTGTGATTTTGTTTTCACCAAAAGAATTTTTTTTCAACTATGAGACCATGAAATATAATTTTGAGACATAAAAAAATTAAACAGTGTTATCGAGTGCACTACAATTAAGATATTGCGTTCTTTTCTTAAAAATGAAAAATACAATTTTCTTTGTGGAAAACATTAAGTTCTTTACATACAATTAATATTTTTTTTCTACTTCATTTATTCCAAATAAATTAAGCATTAACTAAGAATACTTTTTACATAAAAAAATGCGTTTTTTTAACTCTTTTATTTCTCTCTCTTTTTCAGCATGATCTTCTCATGCATTTGAAGGAAATTTTTAGTGGGTTGTAAAAAAACTTTTTACCGAAAGCCACATTCCGTTTTGTAGCTGAAGTTTTCTTTGATGGCAGAACACTAAAAAATTCTCTATTTTTTTTAAACTTTTTTTTTTAAAAAATAATAACATGTGAAAGAGTTACAGAAATTATTTTTCTCTGCATTTGGTTAAAAGCTCTATTATAAACGCTATGAAGGGAGACAGTACCATCATCACATTTTTTTTTAAAGAAAAGTACACTAATACTAACAATAAAAGAAAAAAAAAGTTTGCTTTACGAGAGCATTTAATTCATGATCAATAATTTATTTTCAAAAAATATCAACATTGCTTGGTTTTATTTCTAATTTTAAAAAGAAATTTAAATTATTCCGTTATTTATTTTTAAATACTTCTCAACTTTGTTTTTCTTTTTCACTCTGCTACTTTCTGTACTTCGTCAAATAAAAATTTATCTGGTATAAAATATTCAGCAGCGAGAATACTTCAGTCGGATGACACACAGATTTTGTAGAAAAAATTAAGGTCGCATGGAGTGTTGTAGTGTCAAATTTTTCTGAAGGGGGGGGGACACTAAAAATTTTAACAATTCGTCTGTATTTTTCTAGAAATAAAAGAACATATCGAATTGCTTTATGAATTAAAATTAAGAAGATAAAATTAAGACAGAAAAAAATTAAAATTAAGTTAACAAGAAATGTTATATTTTTTTCAAATTATATTTGTTTTAAAAATCTTTAAATTATATCCATTTTAAAGTAAGGATGTTTTCATTTAATTTAAATTCATAACATAGTTTAATCATAAATAAAGAAAAAAAAACAATTATTACGAAATATTAATGCCTAACAAATGCATTTATATTTGTTTAATTTAAATGATAATTTCTCTAAAATGTTTCATCGAAACGCTTTCATTCACGTTGTCATCAGTGTTTTCACGATCAGGCTTCGCTCTTCGCTTTCTACACTTAGTTACAATTACACTTTTAAAATTTAAAAATTTGGACTTAATAAGAAACTGTAAAGATGAGGAAAAAAAAATCTTTATCAAAAACAATACATAATATTCCATAACCATAACCCATAATAACTCTCCATAAACCCTTTCCCTTTTCCTAACATCTATGGTCACGTGGGGATCATGTCGCGGCACAGTTATCAAGTTCTATAACTTAACTATTCAAGTTGTTTAGCTCTGTCTCGGCAATGACTGCATGATTGTCTGTTAATCCCTCTTCGCATCAATCACATTGTTGGCGCAGGATATTCAGAGAGCAGAGGTCATGGATTCGTAATACAGGAATGGGATTTAAAAGCTCAGATTTAAGTTATTAAATATTGGAAGGACATGAAAGTGAATGCTGTTGCATCATATTTTGAGCAAGGATAATCACAAGTAGCAATAAAATAAGTTGTATGATTAGTTTATAATGAAACAAGTATTAAAACTATAAATTAAAAAATACGTTTCCTCCTCCGAATTATTTCTTTTATTCTATTATTGCTAAAGTAAAGTTATGTTTTTCAATTAATATATCATGAATACTTTTACAACTTCATAAAAATTGAACAAGTAAAAAATTTGAATAGGATTGTGCAATAAAAATTGGATAAATTGTTCGAAATAATTTTACAAATGAAACGAACTATCAATTGGGTATAATATAGCCTACGTCACAGGTTGTGTTGTTCCTACTAAATTTAACCCATGAACGGCATTTTCTGCGAGCCTAACTTCAAGCCACAAATAAACAAACGAAGTGTTCGATCGTTTAAATAGCTGCTCGCCAGATTTTATTGCATTATAAAGAAAAGTTATTGAAACTAAATACAACTAAATAAACAACAACAACTAAAACAAATAACAACAACTACTAATAACAATAACTAAATATACAACAACTAAATTCCATTCGTTTAGCCAGGGACTAGCATTGCGTCATATGTTGCTCCTACTAAATCGAAGTAGTTGTGTTTTTTTCATATTATACCCAATTATAATAAAAGAAAGAGTTTGTGGTTTGTGCATCTGTCTATCTATGTATATATCTATCTATGTATGTTGTCGCACATGCAGGGTGGTTCGAAAATATATATAAAAAATGTAAAGGTAGGTAAAGGGGACCATATTTCGCATGGATGGTTGACGGTGTAAAGTTAGAAGCAGATGGCGCTATGGGTTAAAAAATTTTGCAAGATTTTCGGGTTACTACTTCAAAATGATTTTTACGCCTAAGCTTGGTAAAGCGCGCCATTTAATAGTGTTTGCAATATTACGCGTTCTTTCAATTCAACTTCTAACGAAACAAATAACAAATGAATTCGGAAAAACTCGTAGGCATGTTATGATTCTACCCAAAAAAATAATAGCCGGCGATATTTCACACAATTATTGCCAACTAAGGGACAACTCTCAAGACACGGTAAACCATACACTTCATTTATGTTGTGATATTAATTTTCTTAATGTTGCTTTCCGCTCACGACTTGTTAGAACTTATAAATTACTGAAAACTCTTATGGATAATGCTTTTATATAATGTTTTCGCTCAAATTTGATAAAAAATCACAATAATAAATCTATCTAGAATATTAAGCATCGTAAGCATAACATAAGCGGAGGAATAAACCCGAAATATTCTAAATTCATTCCGGTTTTAAGAAGTTTGATATTGTTTAGATTCAACCATCCATAAAAAAGTGTGTGTGGAGTTGCTGTGTTGCGCCGACAGAGAGCGCTGTCGCTTGCAAATGTGCGACAATCCATTTGCCACCGTGGATCTTGCATACCTGCTGGTCATCGCTCTTTAGAGCAGCTATTGTAAACTGAGATTGACTGTAATTTGATTGCAAATTGTTTAATTTTGTATAAGAATGCAGATGCGGAAACGCGAAGCGTTAAAGCGCTAGTATGCAAAGCAGCGTTAATTATTAGTAATAAAAATAA